TTGAAATCTTTGAAAAGCAGTTCATGGTTTGTTATTGTTTAGTTAAGTTCATTTTATTGTTTAGGCTTTTTTAAAACTATAATTGTTAATGCAAAATATGGGTAGTTTATTCAGTTGCTAATATAGTCAGTAGTGACAGCTGTAGCTAGTACGTATGTGTTGTATTATAAGAATACATTAGCTAGTTGTGGATGTCCACGGTGAATTTACAGGTTTTACAGGTGTTTGTTTGTGTAGATGTGTCTCTGTACAGAATCTGTTTAGTGTCAGGGCACACAGGGCTGATACAAGCTAACTCTGTGCTAATCGCCCTTTGCTGTATAGCAGAGTTTATTATTAGCAACCTCAGAGAGGTGGTTCCGTTCCTGCTTCAGAGATAGAGCGAGAGAGAGAAAGAGGGGCCGACCTGTGCACGTGAACAGTGTGCTGAAGCCATGTGAGGTGAGCAGGGAGAGAGTGTAAATTCTAAGAATGCTCATTGTTCCCTGTACTAGTAGACAGGGGGTCTGAGTGGTGGGCTGAAACGAAGGATGCTCCCCAAATCCCAGTGAGCACCATGCGTAGTTCTGTTATTGCGGGGGCTACTTTGCCTGAAGCATGTCTGCTATATTTGGAGAGGAGAGTGGGACTGTGTTAGACACACATTCATCTTCTCTGTATGTCTTTTCTCATCTCTCCACTTCACCCCCCACCCCTCCCCACACCAAATTAGTCCTCTGATCCTAGACTTCCTCTGATGGGGTGCAAATACACACCTGAAGACAGCTGCATTCACACCCACAGGCCCCTCTCTCGCTGTATTGATCAGAAGAGGCTGATGTTTTTACAGGTCTCTGAAGAGCTGTAGCATCTGCTGGTGTGTTGGTAAAAGATGAAGGCAGCGGCAAGAACAGGGGGTCATATCTCTCTCTCTCTCTCTCTCTCTCTCTCTCTCTGTCTGTCTGCTTATCTATCTATCTATCTATTTATCTACCTTTCTATCTATCTATCTATCTGTCTTTTTGTATGTCTGTCTGTCTCACTGTCCCTGAGAAGGATTTTCCAGCTGGAAAGAATTGATTTTGTTGTCGGTCCTGTTTTGTGTTCTGCTCCTGTGCCCTCAGTGACTTGGCCTAGAGGAAGTGGCTCTTCAGTGGACAGTGCGCAGTCCTCCTTCTTCTGTTTGCAGATGTCCTTGTTCTGTTTGAAAAGATCCAGCTCATTTTTCATCAGATTTATCAATTATGAGATTTGCCAATATGGACATTAAAATTTAACATCTCTCTCTAGGCAGTTATCAATGCCATGTCATGTTTTACACAACTCAGATTTGATTTATTATTAATAAATTCAATTCCAGTGCAGTTCTTGAGGAAAAATGTCATCATAAAATCTCAAATTTCACCATTTTTCAATAAGATTATTTTGCTACAATTCAGTGTAAAAATGCACTCAATACACAAATGTGGCTGAAGGATCTATTTACATATTAGGGATATTAAATTAGAGAATTTAATTTGGCCAAAAAGCACATACTTTACTGAATATTATAAAAGCTTTCAATTATAACATTCCAAACATTCCAAAAGCGATGCAGTTGAAGTGCCACCTTCAGAACAATGCATCGTGAGACAACAATGCATTTTTACACTCCTAGTAAACAGCAGTCATATAGCCCAGGCTGCACTCCAAATCTAACCCAGACACGTATTTTGTTTAACTCTTCCGTTTTATTGCTGCTCTGTTGACATAAGTTGCTGGTCGCCCTGCGTCTGGTTTAAAATGATGACACCACGAAGCTTAGCTGAGCTCGTAGGCTGCTAGACAGCGAGATTAAACCGTAATGGCAATGAGCAAATGATGGATGGGGCTTACATAAGCATTTCTTTCCTCTCTGTGAACTGAATAATTTGGAAACAAAAAGCCTCTAAAATGTATGATTTATTTGCATAAGTAATACTTGGCTGGAACAAAGAGGCTCAGCTTACTGTAGACTGCTCTTCCCTGCTATTTCCTAGCAGTGCTCTCATATGAAATGAAGAGATGGAAGGAGGGGCAGGGAAAGATCGATGTTGGAGGAGACAGTTATCAGATAATAGCATCCTATTGGCTGACAGGGGGAACCATAACACACAGAAGAGTTTATTGGGTTGCCATAGAGATGGTGGGTGCAGCAGCCAGGCTTGTGTAGTAACTTATGGAGATGTGTGTGGGATGGCAGCTTTATTGTTTTGAGGGTTTCTTTCATCAGGGTGGTTTCTTACGTAAGCTTCCCTCTGAAGGTCACTCCTCTGAATCACTGCCTCAAATTAGCAGATTATTGAGTTGTCATGTTCTTTAGCCTTGCTGCTTGCTCTAATACATAGAGATCTCCTTTGTATTTTTACTTCAGCTTCTTTCTATAGCAGCCCGGGTCTAAATTAGTCTCTTGTAGGGCACTGTGTGCGTGATTAGCAGGGTTTCTGTATAGCATCCATTTGCCCACATTGGCTCTGCGGTTGTCTAAAAACAGGTACAGTTTTCAATGGCTATGTACATGGGACTCAAGGGGTTTAATGCTGAGGTGAAAAAGTGTCTATTTCTGCCTTTTTATATACTCTTCCTTGTAAAAAACAGGATTTCTCAAGACTATTGTTGCATCTATTTTGGTTTGTAAACTGAAAAATCATAGATTTTAACTATATTTGCATCACAAACTACTATTGAGAGCAAGCAAACAGATGAAAGGAATATACTTAAACAGTGGAATATGAGAGGGAGTGTGTTTTCATGAATAACAACACGACTGTGATACGGTCACTGATGTTATTTGTGATGAAAAAGTTGTGATGGCTGAATACTGAATACTAAATGTACACTGTACTAAATGTGTTCAGTAATGTATTCCATTACAATACATAAAAGTATACAAAAAAACATATTCATACATTTAGAATTTGAAATGATAAGACACATGGGAAAAACTCTGCTGTTGTCATTTTATTTTTTTAATTCACACTTTTCCTCGCTGTTATTGTTCAGCAGTTTTCTTCAAATAATTCTTCAGTTTAGAAGTTTAATGAATAATTCAATTTTTAAAAGAAATGGCTTTTATCACCTGCTTCAGTCCACTGCTGCTCACATAATCACACTGCCACCTCTTGAACTAAGTAATTAATTCACCATATGCCAGTAACAAAATCTTACAAATGTAACTATAAAGTGGGCAGCTGTGTGATTTTCATTTAACAACATGCATGTAACTTGCCACAAAATGCATGTACAAGTCCAGTACAACACTGATGCTAAGATTATCACTCGTAAAGGAGACTCTACAGTTCGATCATCACTCAAGAGTTTAGCAGTGCTGAGATTTCTAACTGATCATCACTTTGATTTATAAGTCCACTCAAGCTTTAGTAAAAACTTCAATGTTTGTAAAGAAGCCATTTCTTATTTAGAGTATGTTTTCATCATATGTGATTAATAAACAGGCATTGACGATATTTCTTTTAAAGGTTGTATATATATTTTTTATATATATTTTTAGTATTCTAGTTTTCCTTAAAGTATTTTAAATACAGTTACAAAATGTAACTAAATACAGAAACTTAATTTCTGTTTTCTGAATGTGTATTCCCAATACTTGAATTGCCTTACATCTCAACCCTGATGATAATACACAACCTGAAGTGTTCTGTTGCTTTTATACAACATAATATGCAAAATTAATAAGAAAGTAAAGCAAAGAAGCCCTGAATATTATATCAAATGTGCTTTATTGGAAAATTGGCCAAAAAAAATAGCATTAGTTTACATTATGGATACTGCACAAAAGTTGGTCTTATGTTGGATGTTGGCTGGATATTTACCTTTCTCTCTTCGATTTCTTGTGAAATAAAAGTCCAAGGTAATCTTATCTGCATTTTTCCATCCCTGAAAACAGGGAAAAAACTTTTAAAAAATATCCATCATTAAATTTTGGCAAATTTTTCTCCAACACTTAGACAGTAAGAGACCATTTAAACATATTTCCAATGTGTTCAGCTAAAAGAAGGCAAAATCACATTAAATCACTTGCAGTGCAGAGAGTGGCATCCTTTAAGCCTACTACAAATCCCAGTTATGGGAAGCCACTCTATTTACTATAAGTGATTTGATGTGATTTTGCCTTCTTTTAGCTAAATGCATTGGGAAATAAACCTTGAAGTGTCAGTGCTCTTTGTTTCTGAACTATTATGTCGGGCAAAATTTTATGACGTAGGTTTTTGAAATATCTGGTTGTAGTTTGTTCTCTGTCTTCTTAGGAGCCATAAAATGATGCAGTCTCAGCTTCAGTTTAGCTTTCTCACTACTTCAGTACTTGCCAGATTAACCTGAATATTGTTTTGTTAGAACCCGTGTGTAAAGCATTTTACAGCCTGTGTTGTTGGCTGAATTGTATTCTGATGGTTTCTAGCTAATTTCAGTTTGTTTAGTTGTTCTGCGGGCTGAAAAACTTGCTATCGGGCAAGAACAGGTTTGGAATTTGATATAAACCTGTTGTCGCAGTCTTCTTCAGTATCTGGCCAGCTTCTACACCAATCAGATTGTGCCATGGGAACTAACTGTTATCTAAACTTTTACTCTGGAGAAACAAATGAATAATAAATCCTTAGTGATTTGAATATGTGTGCAAACAATCACAGTACATTAAACAATATAGGCAGCATCATGCTTCTTTTGTATGGTGATAGGAAACATGGTGGCACACATAAAGCTCCAGTTTCACTGTAAAGGTCAGTTTAAATGGTGTAAAATGCAGTTACAAGGTTTTCACATGAAAGTAACAGCATGTATACTTTCTGTTAGGGCAACAGTGTTTGTCCTTATACTGATGTTCTTTCACTCTGTAATACCTTTATAGTTTGTCATAAAACAGCTCAAACAAAGACAGTTGTGTTCTAATTCATTCCCCAACCCTCTTTATCTCTCCTCTCTCTCTCTCTCTCTCTCTCTCTCTCTCTCTCTCTCTCTCTCTCTCTCTCTCTCTCTGTCTCTAGTGAGAGGAGGAAGCTCCAGGTGAATATTGTAAGTCCAATTCAATGCAGTATGAATGGGAGGAAGTGTACTGTTGTCGTGGAGACCAGGATCAACCAGTCCCAGCCTGAATTCACCAAGAGCCGATCGGGCTACATCCTAGCAGTGCCAGGAAACTAAAGGACAAGGATGAAGAAATGTCTCCTGCTGTCGGGTCTCCTGCTATCATTTGAGACTCTGCTGAATCTCAAAATTTAAGTCATAACAAATTTGCCTTGAGCTAGGCAGCATTTATATTTTTTTTTACCACGGGATATCTGACGAGTAAACTCATTGGAAGGAATGTCCCTGAGTCTCACATTCCGACTCAGCATAAGATAATAAAACTCAAGATGATTAATCCAAAAAAAAACATATGATGCACCTAATTTCCAGAAAGCATCAATGAGATAATTGATGTCATATTTATTTTTCAGCCAAATAAAGGGAAAACATAAATGCAATATTTATGAAAAACATGATGTGCAAGTCTTAGAAATATCAAAGTAATGTTTTGATATGCTGGTAAGAGTTTCCTGTTATTTAAAGAGAATATTTTTGTTTTTGATATAGCATTCATTTGGGATGAAGTACAGCTATGATTTTGGCTTTATGTATATCACAGCTCATAGTGGCCATATAGCAGACGCTAAGACTTGTTCATTACAGGTTTTGTAGAGGGATATGTTGAGCATATCCGTACACTTGCTAAGTGCTCAGAGAGGAGCATTAAAATCTCTCATAATTTAAAAATATTGTCTTGTTATGCATATTTTCAGTTATGCAACTTGCAGATATTGTAGGCAGAGATTATATATTGTTTATATACAGTTAACAGTTATACAGTCGCTTATTATGTATTGATGAGACCAAAAAACATCAAAAAACAAACAACAGGTATTTCTCTGGTCGAGATACCGAATGAGTGGCCTACTAGAGATGACTGAAACACTTTGGGGACATGCTCTCTATCAAATAACAAAGCCAGAACGAGAGTGCTTGTTTTCCATTATTGAACCTGTCCTCAATAGAACAGGGATATGAGTGCCCCGTTATGTTTGCTTTTTCATTAGTAAGGGAAGACGACACATTTAAAAAATAAAAGAGGGCTGTAATATTTACAAAGACTGATTTGATAACAGTGTCACTGTTAGGCAGTTAAAATCAGAGTATAGGAATTTGATTATTCTTTTAAGCCAAATGTATGACGATGCTTGTTTTACAAAGCCTACTTGATTATTCCACGCTATTACTTTTATTGTTGACTACACAATATACAGTATGTTCTTGTCTACATCTAAAGGGATCTAAAGTCAGAGACCACCCTTCATTCATTTAATTTCCAGCCAAAACAGCCATTAAGTACAAGGTTTTTGTTTGTTTTGTTTTGTTTTTTCTCTTTTTCAGGAGATATTTCTGAGAACATTAGCTACAAGATTGCATAAGGAAGGGGACATTTAAAGGCAAATAAATGACAAACAGAAGTTTCCAAAACTGGAGTTGTAGGTATTTAGAGAGGCAAATGGGACTCTTAACCACCAAAACTGTCACTATCAGATAAACAGCACTTAAAGCTTTAATCTTTGGGAGAGAGGAGAAAATCAAGTTCCACTCTTGCTTCAAATGTGAAAAAACAACACAGGTGTTTCTGTCCATCCTTCCACTGTAAGAACACAACTCAACACTATGGGTCTGAAAGGATGTGTAGCTGCCAAGAAGTCGTTATTGAGAAAAGTAAACCAGCCAAAAAGAAGAAAAAAATATAAATCAAACAAAGAAGCTGCTCATGTTTTCAGAACAAGGACTGCCCACCCCAGAGTCCAGACCTCAGCATCACTGAATGTGTGGGATTACTTGAGATTTTCTGAGAGGCAAAAAAGCAACCAACTTCTGAGACTGAACTTTGGAAGAGCAAAAAAGCATGGAAGCTGTAAAACAGTGGACATATTAATGCTGAACTTGATACTATGTTTAGTTGTTGAGGCTTCTGTGTAATTGTATGTTAAATATATGTTTTCTGCTTCCTCTTGCTGAAAAATACCATACTTTATGGCTGTTTTGACTGAACGTTAAATAAAAATGGGTGATCTCAGTTTTGTGCAGTACTGTTTGTAATCTCTAAAGATAATTAGAGGTCATTAGAGATAAAATCATTGACATAACATGAATGTAGATTGTGTGAGTTCATGTGTACTAGTGAAAGAAAGAAAGAGAGAGACAGCGTTGTTGACTCATATTAACTAAATCAGGATTGCACGCTTTTGAGTGGAAACTCCCAGAGTGTCTGGCCTACTTTTAAAGACCGATTCTGTGAGAGAAGAAGCAAGTGGCTCTGAACAAATTGGCTACTGGTCTTCGTTCCCTTCATAAATCAGTTTTATAATTACTCTTTCATTGTAATCTTCTTACTGGGGGTTTGGGAGAATAAAAAAACCTTTAATCAGTGCACTAGGATCATAGTATTGGCCAAAATGCTTGCTAGCTTTTCTGTATCTCTCATCAGTAGCATATGTCTATGTTATTAAAGGCTCTGTGATGATACTGAAATGTATGTAATTGGTCAGATGTTGATTTGACAAAAAGAAGGCTTTGGGCTATATGTGGAGTTTGATGCAGGCTAGTTTTCCATCCCTAGATCCTTTTTTGGCCTAAGCAGTCTACCCTGCTGCTGATTTCCTCTTTCAACAAGTTCTAGCTATATAAATGTCTTTGTATATGTCTTTACAATTCATTTGCATTACAACAAACTAAAACCTAACACCTCACACATTTTCATTTCTCCGCAGCCTTGTCCCTAGTCTGTCAATCCCTTCTCTTTCTCATCTCCAAGCTCTTTTTCCCTGTGTTTCTGTCTGTAGTGTCTTTTGGCCGTTTGCCTGGCTGGGTAAACTGTGCCACCCCGCACAGAGATTCAGAATGAGAGCGAGACAAAACACAATGTACCCCCCATGCCATGGGGAGACAGAGCCAGACGCTACAGCCTCTTCCATCTCTGTGGCCCTGGCGTTGTGACAGCACTCCCAGCTTACAGATTCATCATTGGTCAGAAGCTACTCACCAGCAAAGCTGAGAAACTAGCCCTTAGGTGTGGATGTAAATTGACTTCTCCATGTTCCACCCACCAGTGCATTCTGTTGTAGCTGCTGTTGTGAGGTTGGGCAAGCTTAACAGACACAAATTGTAGTGGATAAGTATAACTTTATCAGAATGCAGAAATCCAGAGTGTATTGTTAATTTTAAGTGAGATATTGTTTGTACGCATTTAAAAAGTCACAATTGAATGTCCTCTAAAGCCAGACATACACTGTGTGATTATAGCAATCTTGCGCTTTGGTGAGTCACACAGACTGTTGTGTACAGAAAAAGCACACAAATTATATATTCACATTGTATGAAAACGCTTGTTCCATGCTATGTGAAACACAGCCTATAGAGACTCTTTCTATAGACAATTTCAAATAAAGCTGTTTCAAAATAACACACTGCAATACTGAGTTCTGCGCAAACACGCTGAGAAACTGAGCTACAGCAGCACTGCTAAAACCAGGTGATGTACATGGTAGGGCAGTATCTTCTCTGCAGCCAGTTTTACAAATACTGTAAAAAAAAAATCAACATACTAACATTTATACATCATCATTCTAGTCTTTTTTATCCTCCGTTTTGCTATCCTATGTTTCTTCACCCATACTGGGGAAGTGGTCGTGACATGCTGACATTGGCACAGCTGCAAATGCAGTGTCGTTGCCATTTGAACACGTTCAAATTCCATGCTTTTTTTGTTTGTTTTTTGAAGTCAAAATAAGTTCAGATATCCGCTGCAATGAGCAGTCTTATATATGGCATTTTTCTACTAATTTTAGTCCAAGATTTCTATTTATTTGCTGATTTTAACATACTGGGAAAAAAATAAAACACATGCTGTAACTTTTGCACAGGCTACATTTTATTTCTTTTTTTTCCCAATATGCTAAGTTTAGTAAATAAACAGCATTGTTACGTTAAAATGTGCAGCGTGAGTTCTCTGTAGAGGATGTGATAGCTTATTCTCAATTAGAAAATCAACAGAACATGTTAATTGACCAGGGGCACCAAAATTTTGCATATGACTTTATAGACCACATAGTAAGTGTACTCCTTTAAACTGGACACTTAATGCTATGTAGCATATGTAAATTCTAAATTCAGTAGGTTGAAAGGGATTTTTGTCAGTTTTCTCTAAAGCTTGTCCAAACTGGCAACGGTTGCTATGAAAGAATGCTTTTGTGAGCAAAGCGTGGATAGGTCCGATGATCATAGGCTGTTTTTCCTGAAGGCTGTTCGGTGTCATCTAAATCAGAAAAGCACTCATAATTAAAGCATCCCTTGATTTTGGATAGTGGGTTGAAATTGTGAGGTGTAAAGTTTGCAGGTGTAGTTTTTGCATTTTGGTTTTGTTCATGTTTATTTTATATATATATATATATATATATATATATATATGTTTATATATATATATATAAAGCATGCTTTCAGTATAACTTCTGTTAAATTATGATGAATGTAGGCCAAAAAGACCCCTGCCAAATCTTCATTAGTACATTCTGTACATTAACAGACAGTCTTTACCTGTGGCATATGTCAATCTTTACCATCACCTTTTCAAAGAGAGCCTTGAATACTATTTAGTTGTATAAAACCGTGTTATATTCATTTAGATATGGAATATAGTCATGTCTTTTCATGGTGGTGATCTTATATGATCTTCTCCCGTGTGGTGATTTAGTGCCGAATAGTTTTAGCCCCAGGAAAACAAGTCAGCACCTTTACGTTATTTGCTCTAATATGTATAATTTTGCTGTTTAGTCAATACTTTGCAGCTGAAAACAATGTATGTGCCTAATTGTATATTTCATATATTTAACACATTAATTTCATATGTAAAAGTAACACAGAATTTACCCAAACGAAAGGGAACATTATGAATGTTTTCTGTCTGTTTCTCTTATGAACCAAGTCTGTTTCACTTGTACTGTCACATGTATTTCTGTCATTTAAACATTGTAGATTTCCTCATATTTAAACTTCAATTAAAAGCCATTTATTTTGCAAGTGATTGTTTTTCTTCAGGAATCAGAAATACAGATCTTGTAAAATTACCCAATGTATTCTGTCACTTAATCTTTAAGAAGTACTGACATCACAGTTGTACTACAGTTTTTGTTTTTTTGTTTGTTTGTGTTGTTTTTTTTTTGTAAGTACCACTGGGGTATATGACATGCTGTACCAAATATCACTGCTCAAATAAACATGCCCTTGAAGCTCCTAATCCAAGACCTCTGCTTCCAGATGGTGATGTAATGTGTGTGTGGGTATTTTGTCGTTTGTGTCAGATTGCTCATAAATCCTGCCGGAACAGCTGTGTTAGCCACCAGTGCTACTGATGACGTTTGTATGTGTCAAATCCTCTCACTGCCAGTTCGAATCATGACGGCAGCACTTTCGCTGCCTGATCTTTCAATCGGCACGGTTGGTGCGCTGATGAGGCTTATCCGCCTTCTCGCACTCTTAATCCCAGCCATATCTCACACAGCCCTGCCACTGCAGACCGATACTTCACCAGCCTGAGATTCATGCCTGAGGGTGAGACACCTGCAGAATACCTGTTAGTCAGTTTGCTGTTGCTGTGGCTGAATAGTTCAGTGAATTGTGACGTATTAATATTTACAGTTCACAATTATATCTCTTAATAACTAATGACGTTGATTAATAGTTCCAGTCATGGCAAACATCAAACATGAATCTTCCAAAGCATTGTAATGAATACTAGCCCCAAAATGTTCCTTTGTCTTGGGTTAGGAATTAAATAATGTGAATTACCTAAGAACAGAATAGGTATTCTAGACTATAATTGTTAAAATTATTTTTCTAAATAATTGTTAGACATAACAAATAGCTACAATAACAAAGAAGGATGATGGTACTGCTTAAAGTTGCACTATGTAAGATATATCTGTTGAGATTGAAAGAGGTAGCATTGCTGAGTCAGGAGGAAAGAAAACATGGAGGAGGCACGTGCTAGCCCTCATCAACCTAGCTAGTAGGTGGAATTTTGGGAAATTCAGTAGTCAGAAAATATATATATATAAAATGTGTGTATGTATACTGTCCGTGCCCTGCTGTTAGAGTTACAATATAAAGTTCAAAGGAGAAAAATAAGTAACAAAGGCATTATTTTGGGGAGGGGAACAAATAATTATGGCCACACTTTTGTGCATCTTTAACGATCAGTGCATTTTATTTTCCATCACAGTACAAAAATAAATAAAAATAAGCAGAACCAAACTGAAAAAAGTTCAATTACAGCAACAGATTTTGTCTTATTTTTCAAAAGAATGTAAATGTAACAGTTCGGTACCCTGCCCACCCACCAGTCAAACTCCAGTCCATGTTGTATTCTCCTCTAAAAAGCATTGCCTTGCATTCTCCCCAGCCCCTCATAGGAAAAAAAAAATTACACACTCCTCTATACAAATCAACTCTCACACACTCACGCACACATGCAGTCATTGAGAGTGCCTCTCCTTTTTTAAGACTTGTAACACTGTCTCTTTTTTTTTTGTTCTACAAAGAAATATGCGACGAGATACAGAAAAAAATGACCACTGAAATCTAGTACGTTTCTCTTTTTTTGTCTTTTTTTGAAGTTTTAAAAGTGTTTTCTCTCCTTTACAAATGACGAGTCAGTGATGTACGTGGGGAAAAAATGGCACATCATTGTGAAGTGGTGGCAACTCATGGCAGGCAGCGAAGGAGGACTCCCCTGTATTAGTCCCCGAGATTTGAAAGCCCCTTCAGTTTCCTCTGAGCAGAATCCGGAGAAAAGTGCTAGTCCCTATGGCGCTACTCAGCAGTCTTATTCGAACCACTCAGTGTACATTAGCAACCACATTACTGCCTCTTACATCCTCCACTCCATTCCTGTATGCCCTCTGTCACACACAACAAGGCAGCAGTAAGGACAAAAGCATGCCATTGCAGTCTTTCACACATTCCATAGTTTAGGGGCATTGTTCGTACCAAACGGCCGTCGTAGGTAATCATACTATACAGGGATGGATGATCATGTCTGTTTTCCACTTTTTTTCTAACTCTGTAAAGAAATCTGAGATACACAACTACCAAAAGAAAGCATGCGTAGTTTATCACTGCTGACATGTTTACAAAGCGGGCAATTGGATATCGACCTTCTGTAAACTCCTCGTTTGATGACAATGTAATTACACATACCTAAAATTACAGTGAAATGTTCCTTCTAACCACATCCTTGTCACCCTTGCAGCATCTGACGTCATCACAATCGCAATTATCCAATTTCAGAACAAAAACGTAGGCATTATGCCCACAAAATAGAATCCCAGCCTTGGATAACTGTTTCATTCAGTGACATTTCGGTCCTAAAGCTCCACATGTCAGGTTTTTATTCCAAGCATGGCCTGTCCAGCTAAAATCCTGCTTATCTGGACAGAGGTCGAATAGACTCACCCCACGACCTCATCTCATCCAGTCCACTGCAGGGAACCTTGTTCCTTTAATGTTTGGCTTATGTTGGTAATCGCTCTCACAGGCTGTCATTTTCCACGGTGACATGAAATGACTTAAGACAGAAACAGGCTGCCTGTGAATGATTGCTTTTCTTAGATTGATATGTGGGACATCCCAGCAGTTAAGAACCAGAATGGACCTATGCTGTAGGTCAGAATGCGAATGGTCTCAGGTATTTCTAGCTTAGCCTAAAACCAACAGTCTCTTCCTTGTGTTACTGATGAAGAACCCTTGGCGATGCTCAGATTTGAAATTGATTTTCAACTAAGCTCCCAGATGTAATATCCTTAGCCAAATCCTTCAAATGCATATTTGCATCAACTACAATCTTCATTTCCACCAAAGGTAATCACATTTACCACAAATCATCTACGTCTAAATGCTACACATGAAAGTAGCCATTGTAGCAGGAATTTGTACAATACAACACTACATTTGAAAAAAATGCAAGGGATGTGCTAAGAGAATAAATAAACAGCAATAAATTAGGAGTAGATATTCTTGGTATTAATGAACTGTTTCAAAGAGCAACCTCCTTTGGTGTGTTTCTTAGACCTACATGATTTTCATCAAATGTATGGCACTGTTTTTGTAAAATTACACTGAGCTTAATTATTATTATTATCATTGTTATTATTATTACATTGCCTTTTTTCCTATGGACTTTTGCTCAAACTAGACAGTGACACACTTAAGACAACAAAACAACTAAAGATACTTTGTAAGATCATGGCTCATTGTAGCAAGCATAGCTAAATAAACTAGATTCTTTAAATAGCATTCCCTAAATGCAAATGCGGTTGGTTCTAAAAATTCAATGGAAAGAAGTAAATGAAATATTTTATGCCTTCAAAACACCATACAAATTGCATGGCACACATGCATTCGGTTATACGTCCGAGTAAAAAAGAGTGTGAAACAGGTAAATCAATGGATAAAGCTCCAGAGGTGCACACCCAAGGAGAGTATAATATCCGCTTAATTCTATCCGTAGATGAAAATAAAGTAGGTCCTTCGTTTCTGTGTGCGTTACACCTTTAATCTGTTAAACTGCCCCCGTGCAGTGATGACACTTTCTCAAAAATCATCCAATTGTGGCATCCAGGAACTCTCTACAGACATACATGAATATACATATATATACAGACATCACTGGAGTGCGCCTCGTCCTTCTTGTGGACACACATGTTTAGACATACTGCTACTATAGCCAAAGTGCGTATCATTCAGTGAGCATCCAACAGCATGGCCGCAGTGTAGGAGTGTACGCCCTCTGCCTTTTAATCAAAGTCTCAGTCCTTATTGTCAGCAGAGTCCGACAGAGGCCTATCCTCAAAAGGCAGTGCAGTATCTCCAGTAGTTAGTTCGCTAGCTAGACAGCAGCAGGAGGCCTCTCCACATTCATAGCTGTAAATTGGTGTTCCTACTGATGTTTTCTTGTCGTTTTGTTTTTCCGTATTCGTGACCTTGTTATTTTTTTGTCGGTGATTTGGGATTTTTACCATTTGAGACTTCTTTGGTGCATCCAGGTCTGGCATTTCTGTTGCGAGTGGAAGCCAAGCCAACAGCACTGATCATCATTTATAGTCTTGACCATATACTCTAAAAAATAAAGGTTCCCTAATGGTTTTTGGCCTGGATGAATGGTTTCAAGAGACACCGTTAATTGGTATAGAACCTTTACATTATGTGGAGCTTCTTAAAACATTAAGAAGCATCTCATATACAAAAAATGGTTCTTTAAAGAACCATCCATTAGGGAACTAGAAGTGGATCTTCTCCAGCATTGCTCCCAAAAACCTCCTTTTTGACACCTTTATTTTTAAGAGTGTATGGGTCAATTTGTGTAATAATTTAATACTTACTGAACACCCGTAATACAGAAGTTTCCACTTAAATTTTTGCCTGTTGAGATTTGTCAGTCCAGTCACTTAGAAACCCATTCAAGAATGCCAGACTAGGATGCAGCTCCACTCTAAAACACTCTTCAGCGTTCCCTCACCGGTCCAGCCCAATAAGTAAGCGGCTCCTCTCCTCCTCCTTCTGGCTCTCGTTCTTGAGGTCTGCGAAGACCTGGGTGAAATAGTGGGGATCTGAGTTGATCTGCAGCATCTTGGCACTCATCAGGTTGATTATGGACAGGCAGCGGTCCCAGAAGGTCTCCTTAGAGCTTTCTACAAGGAATGGCTTGAGAGGGTAAGAGATTTCATTGCCCATGTAGGAGTAGGACAAGTAGAGGCAAGTGAGAAGCACTGCCTGCAGCTCATGTTCTGTGGCCACTTCTGAGGAGACTACATCCCGACAGAGCATGTAAACAAACACCACATTGGCTGGAGTGATGAAGCCTTGGTCTTGCCAGCCTTGCAGCAGTAGGGAACGGTCTACACTGCGCAGCCATAACACTGGGTCAGTGGGGGAAAGGTGCTTGAGGCGGTAGCATCTCCGGCACAGGAATTCACCCAGGCAGCGCAGGAGCTCACTGGTTGAGGCTTGGACAATCACCCTCTTGGGTGTCCCAGGTGCCACATTGGAGCTGGAGAGAGGTGCTTTCTTGACAGAGGAGGCCACATTATTAGAGCTTTTGGAGCCTTGGTTTGATGGGCTTGACTGCTCTTGAGTGAATGTGGACAGGTTGGCACAAGACTGTGACTTCTTCAGGTTCTCATTGTTCAGATGGGTGACATTGTTCTGGTAGGTGGTGTTGGGCTGCACCTTCTTAGAGCCCTTTTTCTTGGCCGAAACAGCTACTATCCTTTTCCATGGTAACACACTGATGAGCGAGTGACGCTTCATGTTCTTGTCTTTGGCGTTCTTGCTGTTTTGAACAGCAGTGTAGTGGCCCACCGTGGCTGGGCCATCCTCAAAAAGGGCTGCCTTCCGGTAGCTGGGAGAGAGAGACAGGACGGTTCCCATGGTGCCAGAGGAGAACGGGCAGAGTCTCTAGGTTAGGAGATGACTACAGAATGTGCCTGGAGTTGAGGGTCCTGCCTCACTGCTGCCACAATTGGAGACCCAGAACCAGGCTTAGTGTAAGTTCAGCATCAAAATCTGAATTAGTGATCAGCCTGAAGTAGAATAATGTCTGTGTGGATGCAGGCCAAACAAGTTCCTTCCTTGATCCAGAATTCTATTGCTGCAAGACCTGAAAATGCAACAGAAATTTTATTACTAACAATGGAAATGCCACTTACAATGGAAGAACTGTAGCATTCCTACTGAAAATTTCATGTAGAATACGGTAACTTATACTTTTAACTGAAGACTATAAGATATTGGGCATATTTTAAGATATTAGATGTATTAATTTGCCACAAAAATAATATGGCCTACTTCTGTGACTGCATACAGTTAATTACCGTTGCATTATGAATAATAACATATTATGGTGCCATATTTAGATCAACGAAATATTGGTCTAAACAGAAACCATTTAGCCATTTTCCTAAATACACTATATGTGCATAAGAATCCAGAGACCATTTCTTGTAAGTGTATTGACTTATTTTAAGGTCACTTAAAACAGTGGAAGTAGAATATAAAGCATTGGACCAGGCACTCAAAAACCTGAAATCACCTCAGCTAGAGAGGTATAAAGCCCCCCAGCTTTGGGCTGTGGAGCAGTGGAACTACTTCCTCTGGAACATCATTGAATACCTTTGGAATGAGATGGAGTGGCGTTTTGTTATCCAGAACTAATCATCCAACATCAGTACCTGACCTCATTAATGCTTTTGTGGCTGAAAGCAATCAAATCCTCACAGCAATGTTCCAACATGTAGTGCAAAGCCTTCCCAGAAGAGTAGAGGCTGTTATTACAGCAAAGGGGGGCCAACTCTACATGAATACTCTTTATTTTGGAGGAAATATTGGATGAACATGTGTCTATATACTTTTGGACACGTAGTCTGTGTAATGTAAACCCATTAAAAATGTAAAATTCACATTAAAATGATTTTAATGTAAAGTAAACCAACTAATGAGCTGTAGCAAAATTGTCTAGATAACCAATTAGTAAAATATAAATAGCTGTTCTAAAACATAACATACAAAACTGTCAACATGGCAACACTGTATCACTACCTTACTGCAAATCTGTCCATTTCTAGGTTATTTTGCATTGTCTTTGTTCCACATTGTCTGACAGTCTCACACCATAATAGAGGCGAGTGGTGCTTCTCACATGCAAAAATCCACATATGGATTTCCTTCAGAAATCTTTCTCCAGACCTAATACAGACCTCTAATCCCTGGATGAAATACTGTAGACCCTAAAAATTGTTGCATAAGAGTTCTTTAGTAAAGGCAATGGTCATATATAGAACCATGAACACTCAAAGAACGACTTGAATGCATGTGTTGTTCTTTACATGGTTAAATGGTTCTTCTTTATGATGGAAAATCTGTTGTACGTGGTTCTGTTTTTGTATGGTGCCACAAAGGGTTCTGCTACTGTTACCAGTCATAGAACATACAGTCTAGACTACCCTCTAAAAAGAGTTAAAAAGAGGGTCTTAAATAATTCTTGTCATGGATGGACAGTTCTAATGAAATATTTCAGCATCATAATTATTACCTTTTCATTTAATCGTTACACTTTGAAAAGGTTCTTCACACTCGCACATCACACGAAAATGAGTCCCTAAGAATCAACTAACGAAAGGTTCTTTAAGGCATTAGGGTTCCTGGCATTGCTCCAAAAATCCTTTTCAGCATCTCTTTTTGTATTGTAATAACTGTGTAATTATCTGTCTGTCTGTTGCGTTTAATAAAGCTGTTGTTATGTGTAGGTTTTAATGCAGGGCGTGAATTCTGTATCAATCTACCCTGAACGCTTCACAGTGGAAGCGCAGAATGTAAACACCTGATTCACTCCCGTGAAAAACACAGATACGCTTAAACTACGCAAAGCAGGTACTGATGTTATAGATGTGACAAATAGCTACAATCGATCACGTCTACAGGGCCTAATGTTTCGTGGAAGCATTAAATGATGCTAGTCGATGAGTTATAGCATTTCAGAAATATGTCTACATGCCGCTCCCTGTTTAAGATGGCAGATAATCGTTTTGCTCGAAAATAATGCAGTACGGTGCTGAGGGGCATTATTTCAGTGTTAGCCCCCTTCAGCGTTTGTTTAATCTCTCGCTGCTGCAGTGAAGGATGGAGTGCGCTGCTGTCCAAGGTCCTGAAAATGTGCGCTCATAATACAGTAATATTCGCTGATGGGTGTAGGCCTGTCTAAATCACCGTTCTTGTGTGATTTACTGTTATTTTTCCAGCAGATCGTAACAGTGGACGTAGATAAACAAACATCTGGTTTCAGAGATGCTCCAGTCTCTCATGTTTACATCATCCTCCGCTTAATAGAAGAATAACAAATAAAAATGAAAGTATATCGAGTTCGACTAGACCGTGCCATTAAACTAACCGCCCCTCAAACACAGATCAGGTGTAGGATATTCACGTATTTTGTCCCGAAAGCGGTGAATTGTACTTACTGTATTCTTTCCCCCGCGACGATGTGGCTATGAGGAAAGCAGAGCCGCAGTAATGGCCGTGTCTCTGTATCCTCCGATACGCTGCGCATCAAGGTGACACGAGAGGAGCCACATCAAGGAATGCGATCCAAATAATATGAATGATAAGAATGAAGCGAAAATAACTTCAAACAATAATCCAAGATGGGAGAAAAACAAAGAGAGAACAGGGGAAGATCCGCGCGGCTGTGCAGAGGAGCGTGCCCGCGCTGCTGCGCTGCGCTGATACTGAGTGTGTGTGTGTGTGTGTGTGTGTGTGTGTGTGTGTGTCGTACAGAGATGCTGAGACTGAGAGGCTGGACGGTTCACAGCGGGACAGCGCCGCTCTCTGCTCTGTCCTCACTGCTGTTCACCACAACTCCACCCAAGCGCTCAGCACTGCCGAGGTCTAAACACAACACTTCAGGCCTAAAATCTGACCCTGGTTCTCTCTTAGCCAACAGCGCTATCATTTCGAGAGAAACAGAACATATTACCTAGTAGCTATTAGCCTTATGTGAATGCGCTGGCCAACCGATTTTTTTTTTTAGGGCTATGTTGGAGTTAATGCAAAAGAAATAGCACCGTGTGCGTATATAACCGTTCAAAATGCATTCTGAGGTCAGTATAGGCTAAGAATGATGAAATTTAAAATTTTAAATCAAAATAAAAGCCCATTTCATCAGTTAAAAGAGTTTGATGTGGTATGTAATCACATATAATCTAATGCGTCTAAAAGTATTTTTAAAACGTGGGCTAACTTTGTCTGTTCTAACTCTCAGAAAAAATATTGTGACATCGTAAAAACTTCTTGCAGTATTATGATATGACATTTTATCATATTGCTCGCCGCTGATTTAAATATACATACACCTCTTCAGCCCACAGCAGTTTAGCTCCTTATAATGAAATTATGAGGAGTGTTTCGACCCAGACTCCTTTTTTATTACAGCCAATTAGAACAGAGATCATTGGCACAAAAGCCACAGAAACAGCCTGTTTAAAAGCAATCATGAGTTGGAAAATGGTCATGTAAACATGAGTTATGACTATGGAAAAAAAATAATTATAAGAAAAAATAAAGCAATGGCCTTTAAAACCATATCGATTGTTTAGGATCTGCTCATGTTGTTTTTTTTTCTTTCCCAAGGGACAAGTCAACATTATTGTGGCCAATAAACAAATTAATATTTGACATCTATATGCTGTTGATCATTCAGTGGTGAAGTGGCTATTTTTGCAACACACTGCAATATCCAGAACACACCCCTAGTGTGTACTGCAGGTGGCAGGTGATTGTGGGCCTGAAGAGACCCTCCCACAGGCTCCCATATAAGTGGAGCCACTTCCTTTTCCTCCTATCAAAACAGGAGTGCAGAACGCCAGAGGGCGCCCGCAAGTGAGTCCTCAATAAACAAGAGTGAATGGAGCTAACAACGAAAATTTAAAATAGCTTCTCACCACTTGTTCAGTACCTTCCTTTAATTTCAGAAAATAGAGGGATTCACTAAAAAGCAAAGAAAACTAAACTGTATATTTTTTTTATTTTTTTTTACAGCGAACATTTTCTTGGCAGTAGGATGATTAGCATTATTGCTACTGAGTGCTGATTGATTAGTATATTACTGGTACTGACTGCTGATTGGCTAGCATTACTGCTACTGAGTGCTGATTGGCTAGCATTACTGCTACTGAGTGCTGTTTGGCTAACATTACTGCTACTTGGTTGGTGCTGATTGGTCGGCTGAGTGAAGTGGTTAGTGCTCACTGATGTCATGAAAGTACATTAGGCACTGTCTTAAACTCCTATAACTGGAATTCAAAGGCGCTCAAAAATATAAAAGCAATGTTTTATGCCATTCTGTGTTCAGGAAACAAATTTTTAATTTGTTAAAGCATTTACAAATTGTGATTTTGCTCAAATGCTCCATATTAACCCAATCATTTCACACTTGTTTGGGAGTGCCCTCTAGCGTTGACAAGCCCAGAAGACCTTATTGAGTGGCAGTTCTCCTCACTACACATTGTCTGACGGCAGTCATTGGTGTAAAAGGCATAACGGTGTGCAAATAGCGAAACCAGAGTCTCTGAATGAGTAAAGGGGAGAAAATGGAGGAAATACCTGAGTAAACTGAACAAACTGCTGTTTTGTGAACTATAATACACTCCTGTACTGTTTTTCATCTTCAACATGTTTTCTACCACAAGTAACAGCAAGATGCAGTTGCAACAGTTGGGGTTAATTTACAGTACTGTCATTTTAAGTATTCAATTGCAGTAATGAGCAAAATTCTATGCAAATGGTCCATAGGTTTATTTTAAAAATCACACTCAATAGAATACATACAAAAACACAAATAAACAAGCCATAGTGCTTTTATGTATGTCACTGTGTTATCTATTTCCAGCCATAGTTAATCTAATAAATTCTTTATTATATTATATCAGATGTGCTGCTGAGGAATGGAACAAATCCACTCTTAAAGCTTAGATAAATTGTTTTAAACTGTGCAAATATGGCTGCCTAATACTTTTGCACAGGACTATATAAAATATTTTACTATTGCAGTAAATGTATGAGTAAAGGAATCTACTTTTAGTTACTATTTTTTGTGCCTAAAATGATTTACAACAGTCGCCTCCTTTTGTTAATGCTAGTTTAGCTAGCTATTGTTAGCTAGCCAGTTTGTCAGTTAACTAGCGAATGTACTTACAAATGGCTTAGATTCATGGGTAATACATTAGCATTTTAGTTTTGCTGTAACAGAATTAATTTTCACAATTGGCTATAGAAATACAATAATAAAAATAGCAAGACTGCAGGGTGGTTAACCATCAATTAGTGTTATCGAGTGTGTTAATGCACTATTTTCTCCTCTCACTATCTCTACTGTATCTGTGCTGTACTGTAACGTTATCTGATTTGGCCAAAAAGCCACTGAGCTGAGCTGTGCAATCCGGTGGCCTCTGATCAGGGAGATGTTCATTATTGTGCCAAGGCTATACGGCGATCCAGGCCTGAACTCTTTACTGAAATTGAATGTAAGTGTATCATTCTGCACTCCAGGTGCCTTTTTTGTCACTCAAGCTATATGAAATTTCTCTTGTTTATGAACACAACATGGACTTTGCTCTGCCAGTTTCACCGCCACCTAATTCAGAGTATCTTTACAAATCATTTTTCATGCTATGATATTGAGGTTGTTTGTGTTTAACAAACAGAAATCAAACAAGGATGCAGTGTCATTCCTGTGAAACACTACTCTATAAAAGGCCCTAAATGCATCCCCCATAAATATGCCAACACAGCACCCAATGCTGTTGCCATTGCAGTATAACAACAATACTGGAAACCATATTTACTTATATGGCAAATGTCCACTTGTTCAGAGTAATAGTACTGCAGTTGGACTGTGGATGTGGCTCCATCAAATGCGCTCTGTGCTGGCATAGTAATGGAATGTGTGTTCTGGGCCTTTTATTTTACATGCTTTGTGACTGTAAAGCACTTTTTTCAGGTAAGATGACTCCATCTTTTCAGTGTAGTCTTACACCTGTTTCTGTTGTGGTCTGAGATACTCAGATACTCAATCCTGTGACGTATTTTGTGGGCAGCCAGAGATTTGTAAAACAATAGCAAGTCACTGGGCCAATCCAAGGTAGGGTCATTCAATAAGTAATGTAGTCATACATTCTTATATGATACTGTCACTTGAGTCATTAGAGCTATCATAATTCTTCTGTTAAATTGTGTATAATTTTTGTTTTCTAATTAGGAATTGGTTCTGGAAATATTACTCTAGCTAATAGACACCTTCTATTGTGCAGAGGTGAGTTTTCCACCATACACCATTAAGTCATATGTGTGATTATATAAGACTGTGGCTCTCAATCTTGGTCTGAGAGCCTTACTAGCCTGCTCGTTTTAGTGTTTTCCTGCTCAGGAAAGGTTTGTTAATACAGTGATTCGTTGATTTGGATGTGTTGGAGCATGTATAGCACTAAAACACACAGGACAAGGGGCTGTAGGTGCCTAGTGAAGAATCACTGATGTAAGGTACAGCACCATTCGACAGTGTAAGGTTAGCAATGTTGTTCATCTGTGAGTTGTATCATAATATTAATCCATCGATTGTGTTTTTTCTCGTAATTCAGAGCATTTTTCCTCATCTGTGAAAAAGGTAGCCTCTGGAACTGTCTTACTTTATGTTATTAATGATATTAATATGCAGGCATCACAATGAATACATAGACTTCTTCTATACCCTATTACTACAAAACATCTCTCTCATTTGTCAGTGTGTTACTGCTTAGCAAGATAATGTTAAAGCTAATGATACCACAAAGGTATCCAAGATTATTAAAGGGGAAAAGTATGAAAGTACAAGTGTAAAAATATTATTTGACCCTGTATATTGGCCCATATTTTTCAAGCATTTTAAAGTAAGAACAGTGATCTGAGATCAGGTGTCATCAGTTTTTGTAATTCTATTCAGTGTTATATAAAAGCAGTAAGCTTACCACTGATCAGCATTCTGACACTGAGAAGTTTGATAAATATGGGCCATTGTCTGCATATTGTCTGTATATGTATGTGCTTAGTGTGGGTACACAAGGACACTTGATGTACTTCAAAGACGGTTTGAACCACCTTCAAGTCTGGTCCTATCATGCTTTTAAATGACTGAAGCCCAGGAACTTTCTCTAAAATGTCAATTTTACTACATTGCTGTTTTCAGGATGCTTTGTAGCAGTGTAGTCATCAATTTAGGACATCTGAGGCACATTCATAAATAAAATGGTGTTAAACTAGAGATTCATGGCACTACAGAATTGTATTTTTTTTTCTCTCCTGGATCATTTAGGTTGGATTATTAATAGGTGAGTTGAAGGTCATGAGAACAAGTACAAAACTGCTGTAATGCTTTTAGACACATTGTTCAATAATAATGTTTTTAGTAGATGATAGAGTCTAAAATAAGGCCTCACAGCAAGAAGGGCCTTTGTTCGATTCCCAGCTGGGTGACCAGGGTCCTTTCTGTGTGGAGTTTGCATGTTCTCCCTGTGTCTGCGTGGATTTCCTCTGTGTACTCCAGTCCTCCCATCGTCCAAAGACATGCAGTCAGGCCAATTGGACACACTAAATTGCCCCTAGGCGTGAGTGTGTGTGTGTGTGAATGTATATGTCTGTCTGTCTGTCTGTCTGCCCTGCGATGGACTGGCGACCAGTCCAGGGTGTATCCTGCCTTCCGCCCAGTGACCGCTGGGATAGGTTCCAGCTCCCAGAAGGATAAGCGGCTTAGAAAATGTATATGTGTGTGTGGGTGTGGGATTTAAATATTTCATTAACTGGTGAATGACTGTGTCAAACCAGGGACACTGCAGTACTGAGGCAAAAGAGGTTCACTTTAAGCATGCCAGTTTTTAATATCAAGCTTGTCATTTTATAGGCATACCTAAATACTTGCACAGAGGAACTATGTCTAACCTCTCACTGGCATGTTTTACATAAATTTTGAATACATGCTTGCATTTGCAGACTGATCATATTAAACATTATTTGACATTTTTGATTGAAAAGATCACACATGTCCAGACTGTGCTTTAAACTTAAAGACAGCATTCACTAATGTGTTTTAAGTTTGTAATAATAAGTGGTGATGATGCACAGTACTTCAAAAAGACTGTCCAGATTTTTAAATGTTAAATTGATAATAACATTTTGTGGCATATTAGGTTTAATATAAATATAGAAGAGCCTGAGTTTCTAGCCACTGCTGGTCATAAATTTTTGTTCTCAAGGAGGTTTTCTCTGATGTAGGATCAATTTGTGGATTGAGTTTGTTTATAATTAATATAATACTGTTATATCAGTGTTTCCTAATCCTGTAGCACCGCATAACTTCAACTATTCCCTGCCTTGCCACACTTATCCGCACTACAATACCCAGAACACGCCTGTAGTGTGCACGGCACTACGATGCCCAGAATGCCCTGCACCGATCTGCCCTTGCTTACGTATTTGTGGTGCAGTTCGCGGGTGGTTGTGGGTCTGTAGGTTTGAATAGGGAAGATGGCAGCCGCGGCGGTGGTGGAGTTTCAGAGAGCTCAGTCTCTTATCAGTACGGACCGAAACGCTTCTATCGACATTTTACATTCAATAGGTAAGACGCGTTAAGCGGGTTTTGGTTATTTTATTGCTTTAGTTTGCTCTTACACTAACTTTGGTGAGGCTGTCTGTTGTCAGTGCTCAGCCGGCTGCTGCGGTGCTGCTGACTCACTGCACTGTCAGTCAGTGTGGAGCTCATAGGGCTGCAGCTAATAGCTAATGTGGTTAGCTCGTTGTAGCTCACCGGCTATCGGGGTATTGAATTGTAGCTAAGCTAGCTGGCCCTGTGGTATGAATATGAGCTAACGTTAGCTAACGTAATTAATTTCCAGATTTCATTTTGAAATGAGTTGCTTATCGTTAGCCAGAGTTAATGAATGGTCTGATATCTACAATTGAGGATTATCTCGCAATACAAGTTAGCTAGCTAGCTGACTAACTTAGTTACTTATCCAGGTAAAATAACAGCAGTCTATAAACTTATCATATCTTACTTTATTGTCTTATTCTGGGTTAGCCATGCTAGCATTCTACCATTTTAAGTTATGTCAAATGACCAGCCAAGCTACAGGAAAACTGGATAGCGCGATTAGTCATTCCCATTAGTCAGCGATTTAGCTAACGCTAGCTACTTGCTAAGCTCAGTTTTGATCGCCCCTCTTTCAGTTTATCGTTATCGTTGCTGTTAGGTAAATTACTAGGTTAGGTTAGTTATTTGGGAAAACAGAAGTTTTATACTGCTATTCAATAGTTTAGCTGGTTAGCGAGCAGTTCTCTCAGACTTAATGCTGCTTCCATTATGGCTTGCTAACTATCTAACGCTAGTTGACTGACTTTGTAAAGTGTTTGTTGACCACAGCCGGACTGTTTCTGTTGGACGGTCTGTCACGCTTGTAGCTGTCAAGAGTCACTGCTTTCTTATTAACTTGAGAACAGCTACTCCTAAAATTATTAGCTGTGTATATACGATGTAGCTAGTAATATTTGGCGTCTTGTTTCATGCAACATTTCTGTAATAAAAAATAATTATAACTATATATTTCACCTCTTCTTAAGTCGGTTTCACTACGTTGATCATTCACCTTGTGATAATCAGGCTTTCCAAACCATTGAGATTTTCTAGTTGTAGTTCTACTTGTTTTTCCTAACAGTGATGTCATATTCCTTTTGGTAGGTGATATGTAGTGTGTTATCTGCTGAAGCACTCTGTGTTCTCACTGTGTTTCTTCAGTCAGGCGAGATGTTCAGCAGGATGATGAAGAGGCAGTGCGTATCAAAGAACAGAGCATCCTGGAACTTGGCACTCTACTGGCTAAGACAGGACAAGCCGCAGGTAAGATTCTTTATTTTGTGTTTAAAAATGATACAACTCCCTCAGGAGAGTTTGGAGAGCTGCAGTCATGAAGCTAATTAGTGATAGTTTTTGAAGTGTTAATGTAAGGACTGTTTGTTTTGGTAATTGATATAATCTCTCACTGTTTCATACATAGAGCTTGGAGGACTCCTGAAGTTTGTTAGGCCTTTTCTGATCTCCATAAGCAAGGCTAAGGCAGCACGACTGGTGCGCTCTCTGCTGGATCTCTTCTTGGACATGGAAGCAGCTACAGGCCAAGAGGTAGAACTGTGTCTGGAGTGCATTGAGTGGGCCAAAGCTGAAAAGAGGACGTTTCTCAGACAGGCCTTGGAGGTACATATATACCTTACAGTACAACATTGCACATATAGAGTAGCTGATGTTTAGGTTGACTGCATGAATTAACGGTTTTGATAGGTCAGTAGGAAACAAATGTGCAGGGTGTAACAGTTCCCTTTTGTCCAACAGGCTCGTTTGATCTCACTGTATTTTGACACCAAAAGGTACCAGGAGGCCTTACAGTTGGGTGAGTTGTTTAATGGAATCTTCAGGATGACAAAAAGACCCAGTCTTATTATATTAGGCAACATTGTATAGAATTTGTGGTTCAGTTACATATCAGAATTTCTTAGATAAGCTGCTAAGCCTGGTTGTACTGCAGGCTCCCAGTTACTGCAAGAGCTGAAGAAGATGGATGACAAAGCTTTATTGGTGGAGGTCCAGCTGCTTGAGAGTAAAACCTATCATGCACTCAGCAACCTGCCCAAGGCCAGGGCTGCCCTTACCTCTGCCAGGACCACAGCCAATGCCATTTACTGTCCACCCAAACTTCAAGCAGCCCTGGACATGCAATCAGGCAAGTCTAATGTGTACTAAACAAGTTTTGAACTTTCCAGTGTCAGTTTTGTGCATGCAGCATTCCTAGCAGTCTATATATACACCTGAGGTTCTAAAAGCCCCACTTAAGATTCTGTTAATGAACACATATCAGAGTTAAAGCTCATCTGCACTAAATATATGCTGCCTGTATATAACTGTGCAGTTGTTTAATGTTTTTATTGTAGGCATCATCCATGCGGCTGAGGAGAAAGATTGGAAGACAGCCTATTCTTACTTCTTTGAGGCATTTGAGGGCTATGACTCCATCGACAGCCCCAGGGCTATCACTGCACTGAAATATATGCTTCTCTGCAAGATCATGCTCAACTTGTAAGTGAAAAAGCAGTTTGTAGTTTTACTCATGCCTGTGTAGGAGGCCCTTGTAAGAGTGTGAATTGTACATGTTGTCCTGTCTTGAATTATGTAAGGCTGCATTGGAGAGTATATGCATTTTGGCAGAAGTAATGCAGTAGTACAGTTAAACTGGCCTGGGCTTTGTGACTCAAACAGATTTCAATAGTAAAGGCTTAGGAACATTACACTGGAAGTTTTCTGGCTGTGATTGTGGGACAAAATAAGGTATTTGTATAATAGGAGAAGCTAATATGAGAATTTGAGAAGCTTGTGCATAAAGCCAAAATATTTATTTTTGGTCAGGTTAAAATACTTTGACTTGAGCTTACTAAGATAGCAGCTACTGGAAGTCAACAGAGGATACCAGTCATAGCTTATGCTATTAGTGCATGCACTAAGATCATTCACCAGTGCCCCTGCTTGTTTTCTTATGTGAAATCTCATTTTATTTTAATTATTGTTTTGCCAGGCCTGAAGAAGTACAAGCCTTGATCAGTGGCAAACTAGCTTTACGGTACGCTGGGAGACAAGTAAGTACTCTTCTTTAATTTGTGGATGATTTTGTGGGATTGATTATAGATAGTTCTCATGTACACAAACTAAGTGATTCTTCTATTCTCCCTGATTCTTCTGTTCTTCTCTCCAAATCTGTAACAGACAGATGCACTGAAGTGTGTAGCACAAGCCAGCAAGAACAGATCGTTAGCAGACTTTGAAAAGGTGAGACAGACTTGCTGATATTTTTGTAGATGAGTCTACATTTTCGACATCTGTTGCTTATCTGCCCATATTTCTTGTGCATGCTCACACACAAAGGCGCTGACGGAGTACACAAAAGAACTGAGGGATGACCCCATCATCAACACACACCTGGCCAAGCTCTATGACAACCTGTTGGAACAGAACCTTATCCGCGTCATTGAGCCTTTCTCCAGAGTACAGGTAGAGTACGCATTCTAAAATTCCATATCAACTATAACCAAATACTGTGTAAGCACATTTTTTAGGTTTAATCAGAGTCTAGAAAACTGCTGTCTGTAGATTATCTTTGATAGCTTGTATTTTGCTGCAGGTGTCAGAACATACCTGTTTTGTGTTTTCATTGATGTCTGTAACAGTCTGTAATTTGTCTTCTAGATAACACACATATCTGGTCTCATCAAACTGTCAAAGGTAAGAAGCCATATGTTATGTAACAAGGTAAATTTGGTTGTATTTTTCATAATTGACTAATCAACCTTCATTGCATAAACATCAGATGCATGTCTAAGTCAGAATCGGCCTCTTAGTTGTACCTGTAGACATGGATGTAACCTCGCTTTTTGAAAATACTGGGGAGACTTGAAAAACTTGATTAGGCTACACATTCAATTCTCAGCCCATCGTTGTAGAAACCTCCAACCGTTACTATTCCCCCTTTTTTTTTATTTTTTTATTTTTTTATTTTTTTGTATGATAAACAGCAGGCAGTAAACACATTCGGGTCTTTGCTTTAAATAATGCCACAATTTTACAACAGACAGTCGAGAGAGCCTGATTATGTTTATTACTGGACACTGTTAATATTGGCCAGCGTTCCTGTGTCCTTTGTTTAGTAACAAGAATCTCTCAGTACGTTTTGGTACACATTCAAAGATCTACAGTGCTCTCTAGAAATTACGAGTGTATAGTTGTAAATTGTAGTGCTCTTGTTTGTGTTTAATTCCATTTTACATTTTGGACACTGTGTGGTAGTCAGGTTTTTCATAACGGTGTCGTAAAACATAGTTAGATCTATTTTGGTCACAACTCTGATTTTATGGACAAATTTAAATGGTTTGAAATGCCAGGACCACACTGTAGGATGATCAAGGTGATTTGAGAAACTGATTTGTCCCTCCTGACGCAAACGGTGTACCAATTTCAGGTTGATCTTAAATGATCATATTCCCAGATTATCGCGTGTGCGTTTGCGCGTATTACTTACATTCCACTAGTGCCGACCCCGATTTGTTAAACACGTTCAAACCTATGGTGTGGGGTGGAGGACGCTGTCTGTCATATGTAAAACAATGTTGACGTCATGCATCAAAGACCAGCCATTGAGAAAGGTGCTTAATGGAGAGCTGGAGCTAGAGAAAAGGATAAAAATATTTCAGTTTAATCAACACTGTTAAACATTAAAGCTTTTCTTTCACTTTTATGCTCAGTTTTTTTTTAAGTCAGAGAAATGTCATTATGTGAGGGTCTCTCTCAATTTTGATGTTGTTGAGGGTCTTAAAATCCTGAAGTTTGGGCCAGGCGGAATCAAACAAATCTGCCAAACAATTTTTTTTTGTTTTGGCTTACAGGGTGATGTTGAGAGAAAGCTGTCACAAATGATCCTGGACAAGAAATTTCATGGTATGTCACATCAGTTTGCTTATTGCTGTTTTGACAGTGCTTGCATATTTTCACCACCTTTTAACCGGGATATGTGCTGAGTGTTGGCCTCATTGCTTCCCTCTAATGTTCTGTGAATATTTTTTTTTTCCTAGGCATCCTTGACCAGGGTGAGGGAGTCCTGATCATATTTGAAGAGCCCCCTGTAGACAAGACTTATGAGGCAGCCCTCGAAACCATTCAGAACATGAGCAAAGTTGTGGATTCACTGTACAACAAAGCTAAGAAGTTGACATAGGTAAGTGCTAACACTAAGTATTCATTCATATGCTAATCATACATTAAGTTTAGAACCATGTATAAAAAAAAGTTAAGCAGTTAATTTAAAGGGCCTGAATCATTTTAAATATGATGATTCTTCCCTTTTTCTTTATGCTTGGTATGCACTGAACTGAAACTTGTCTCTCCAACAGAAAAACGCAAAAGGATGCTGCTCTGCAGAGTGGATGTGTGTGCGTGTGTGTGTATGTCTGCATGCGTGTGTGGCCAACATGTGGAGCCTTTTGTCAAGGCGAGAAGGGACAGTAGAGTAAGACTCACAAACTGCAATGGGATTCACTTGCTCCCCACCTGAGAGTTTTTAACTCATCTTTCAATGGACAATTTCATCCTTCTCTAATTATGATGTTTATTTTTCCCCCGGTGTATCTGTCATCGGCCAGTATGGCCATCAGGGAATATTGTACAACTACAATAAAATCTTAAAGTCATCACATAGACATGTATAACTCTTTTTACAGTTCAAGTAACAACCTCCTGTGGTGCAATACTGCTTCAAGTCCCTATTATTTTGGGGTCACAAGGAACTGTGGATAACTGTTTGTCTTCATTAGTTCTAGTCTCATGAAAGCACATTATTCTGTCTGCAGCAAGTAAGAAGTGTCGTAACGAGGCATGTTAAGGCAGTTCAGATGGTTCTGTAGCGAGCACAGTTGCCAGCAATCAGACCAATCATGGTTATTTTTCAGATTTTTTCAAGTTCAAAGTATTGCGTTTGATGTACAGTTTACTCTGGCAGTATACTCTTTGATTCTACACATTGCAGTTCATTTTCTTTAACTCCTAAATGTTTGTTGTATTAAAAAGCCCATAAATTTCTCTTCTCATGAAAGTACTTATGAATAACTTCTTTTCTAACTATTTCAAATGCTAATGTTTAACTGCAGTACAAATAAATTTCTTTACTTGTTTTGTTCAGTTGGACTAAACAGCCATTTTATAATAGCTGGTTCTAGCACAGTATACGAGCTGTATACTTCTGATTAAAGTAGCCAGTGTGACTTCCAAAGGACTCCAACCATTTATTTCCTTAGAATCTTATTTTTAATGTGTTAAAATACAGTTTTCTATTCTAAGTTGTACTGTTTGTGGTCCATGCTTAGAAATGTTGTGGGAAGGATACAGGTGTGCCGTACTGTTTTACTAAGTTTTATTCTTGTTTAGGTTGAGTGATTTTGCATGTTTTTGTGACTGATTTGGCCATTTTATCCCTTGGGAAGTTCATTCTTGCTTTTGTTCCTGAGTTGGTAAGGTGGAAACAAGTCCTTGTAAATGTCCTTGAATGCAAACTATCAGAAATGCAAACAACTGCACTTCACTTTCACTTCTAAGCAAGTTTGAAAAAAACTGTTTTGCTCACACTTGCTCACTCTCCCTTGGGATGCATTTATTTCTGTTACGGAGTATGAGGTTGATGAATAGAACACACAGTTATTGCTGTGTGTTGGGAAATACTCTCTGACAAGGCCTTTGCTTCTGCACCAGATAATATTTGGCAGGTGATATTTTATCTAAAGGTCTTTTACATCATAGCTTAGAGAGAACTGTGGCCATAAAATAACATTGTGTTTCTAATATGCAGAATGAGATGCCTGGAGCAAGTGAGGTCAGATCATCAGTAGAGCTGATCCTTTTTAACACGGTTGCATACAAAACCCTGTGTAAGCACTCTTTAAATTAACAAGGTGCCATTTTCCCCTCCTGTGACGGATCCGTATCAGATTTCCCAAACCAAAAGTGTTGCCATGTGTATTTCAATCACATCAGTATTAAATGTACAAAAGGTTCTTGTTGACCTACAATTATAGCGTTTATCTGATGTTCAGATGACTTCAAATAAAGCTTTTCTGTCAGTTTTGTGCCACTGTTCAATCAAATAGCTTACAAATCATACAAAATAGAGCTCAAAAACCATTAACGTGAAATTGTGACTTGAACATAGAAGAAAAGAATCTGGAGAAAAGAATTCCAGAATCCGGAACTGTGATTAGCTTTTAACCTGAAGGTTGAGTGCAAATCAAACAAAATTTGATACTGTGTGGCTTGACATTGCTGATGCGTCACATCTTGTGCACTCAGCGTGTAGCTCAGACAGTGGTATTATTATTTATCATTAAGTGCTACCGTGTTGGTTCTGACATCTGGTGAACACGTATAATGCTTCTACAGAATATCCGTTTTTTTGTTTCGGTCTTTGGGCTTCTTAGTGGATTTTTTGTGAGTCCCCTGATTATCTCCATCTGACTTGTTGCTGGCCTTCCTCTTCCTCTTTTACCTTCACCAGTTCCAAGCATAATTGTTGCTTCCAATTAATTGTTTTTTTCTCAAAATGTATACAAAATAAGCTTCAGTTTGGTTATCTGGGCTTCGAGTGTGAGGTGAGGCTTGATTTAGTCAAGGATCAATTTATTTATTTCTTTGCCATCCAAGATATTCTGGAAAGTATATGCCAGTACTAAAGTTCAACGGCATTATTTTTTCTTTTTTGCTTTTTTATTATCCTGCTTTCACGTCCATAGAACCACAGAGAAGACTTGCTTGGATGTTTTTGATCATCATTTGTAGAGATACATTTTTACATTTAAGAACCTTTTGTTAATAATTGATTCAAGTAGGCAAAAGCTGTCCACCACTTCTATATCTTTCCCATCAATGATGGATAGCAGTCTTTCCCATTGTCATAACGTCTGTTTTCTTCAAATTAAGCCCACCTTTTCGTGCCTTTTTTTAATTTTCCTTATTGGGCCTTCAAATCTTTTTGATTTTCTGCTGAGTGTCCTGTCATCTGCATATCAAAGGTTACTGATGTTTTTTTCCACCAGTCTTGAATCTTCTGTCATCTTTCTCCAGTCTTGCTTCTCCTATGTGTTTGGCAGGTTAAACAAGTATGGTGACTAGATCCTTTCCTAGATCGTGTGGAACCGTTCTGTTTGTCTATTGTGGCTTTTTGGTCTGTGTAGAGGTTCCTTATTAGAACAGTGAGATGCTCTGCTGTATCCATTTTTCTGAGTACATTCTATAATTGTATGTGCTTGACACAACTCATCAAAGGCTGTTCTATAGTCGATGTTGACTTCTTTCTTGAATTTCTTGACTTATAGTTGTCCATCATACATCGACAATGATACACTATATGGACAAAAGTATTGGGACACACCTCTTAATCATTGAATTGAGGTGTTTCATTCAGTCCCATTACCACAGGTGCACCTAGCTATGCAGTCTCCCTTTACAGACATTTGTGAAAGAATGGGTCGTTCTAAAGAGCAATTTCTTCCCTTCTAGATATTCCATGATCAGCTGTGAGTGGTATTGTTGAAAAGTGTAATCGATTAGGGACCACAGCAACTCAGCCACGAAGCGGCAGACCATGTGAAGTTACAGAGTGGGGTCGCCAAGTGCTGAGGAGCATAGTTCATAAAAGTCGCCAACGTTCTGCTGACTCCTAACTGTATGGTTCCTAACCTTTTCTGGCATCGACATTAGCACAGAAACTGAGCCTGAAGCTTCATGGCATGGCTTTCCATGGTGGAGCAGCTGCATGCAAGCCTTACATCACCAAGCACAGTGCCAAGTGTCGGAGGGAGTGGTGTAAAGCACGCTGCCACTGGCCTCTGGAGCAGTGTAAATGCATTCTGTGCAGTGACGAATCACACTTCTCTATCTGGCAGTCTGATGGATGAATCTGGGTTTGGTGAATGCCAGGAGAACGTTACTTGCCTGACTGCATTGTGCCAACTGTAAAGTTTGGTGGAGGAGGGATGATGCTATGGAGTTCTTTTTAAGGGTTTGGCCTAGGACCCTTAGTTCCAGTGAAGGAAAATCTTAGTGCTTCGGCAAACCAAGACGTTTTGGACAATTCTATGCTTTCAACTTTGTGAGAACAGTTTGGGGAAGACCCTTTTCCAGCATGACTGTGGCCTAGTGTACAAAGCAAGGTCCATAAAGGCATGGCTGGGTGAGTTTGGTGTGGAAGAACTTGACTGGCCTGCGCAGAGCCCTGACCTCATGATCGCGAGACAGGCCCACTATATAAGAACTGTGGCCATACAATAACAATGATAATAATAATAATAATAATAATAATAATTATTATTATTATTATTATTATTATACTTGTTATTATTATTTTAATTGTTATTATAACATTATGCGTGTGTAATATGCAGAATGAGATGCCTGGAGCAAGTTAGGTCAGATCATCAGTAGAGCTGATCCTTTTTACAAAGTTGCATACAAAACCCTGTGTAAGCACTCTTAAATTTCACAATCTGGAACTGTGACTGAATAGCTTTTAACCTGAAAGTTAGCAGTTCAACTTGCTGTAGTGTACGACTGAAGTTTCTGAGAGTGCATATCAAACAAAACCTCAACCCCATCGAACATCTTTGGAATGAACTAGAACAGAGATTGTGAGCCAGGCCCGTTCGTCCAGCATTGGTGGCCTACTAATATACAAAAATTGACAAAATCTTGTAGAAAGCTTCCTAGAAGAGTGGAAGCTGTTATTGCTGCAAAGGGGAGACAAACTCCATATTAATGCCCATGGATTTAGAATGGGATGTTATAGAGGCTCCCAGTACTTTTCTCCAGTCAGTGAATCTTTTGTCCTTCTGTCTTGTACAAAAAGAAAATAGAAAAAGCTGTGGAGCTGAAGAATATAGGGTTGGTTGTCACAGTTATATTTGATTAAAATGAAGCTTTTATTTTTTTAATAATATAAAATTAAATTAAGTTGGATTAAATGATCTTGAATAAATCAAATCGAAAAAGTTTTAACACAAGTTAATGATTAGCAAAACCAACCTTATTAAGTGACCTCTTAGTGATTCTCCCCACTATACAGCTTTCCTTTAATTGTAGTTAGTCAATCGATTCATTTTAAATAAACCTTAATGTCCGATTCATTAGGGTCTTCCCAGACTTTTACTTTGAAAATAAAGAAGTGACTCTTTAGTTGATGTGATGTTCAGGGGAGTTCAAATGTATCTTTAATCAAATAATCTCAGTCTCAATCAAATAAGTCATACAAAGCGCAATACACAAACTGTTAACATCTTGAACCTAGAGGACAAACTTAGAAGAATAAACAGCTGAATGTGTAAATGGAAATGATGAGCTTATGGAAACTGAAGCTATTAAACGACTATGAATCTATGTGACTGAACAAATCGTTTTAGCATGGTCTTGTCACAGAGTTTGAACGTAAATGTTTCAGACATTGGTAGGAAAAGCTGGATGTAGCTGAGGAACCTGGGGTTGCTTATGTCACATCAGTACAAATGAACCATTATCCAATTTCACCTATAATACTACATAAACGATTAATTTGAATCAGCCTTTATTGATCATTTTTAAAGTTTACCGTTCGCGTCTCAAGACTTTTAATTTGAAAATAAAGAAATGAATCTATTGGTCTCCAGCTTCCTTCTTTACTTTGAACGTGTGTGCTCGTATCCTGCGTTGACAGCGTTGCAGATAGTCAGAAGGGGAATGAATGGTTTTATTGTTTTGCTTTTGACAGGTTTCTTGCTTTGAAATGGCCGTACAACGTCGAGGACACGTTAAAAACTCTGACAGTAAAGCCATAGAGAGAAAAATAAAAAGGTACAACTTTACGTTTCACCTCCGTAACGTGATTTAGTTTGCACAGCTTACGTCAGTCCTACTGCAGACTGTTCAACAGAGCAGCAGGTTATCAAGCTTTTTAGTCACAACAAACAACACACATCTAAAGACGTAGAACAAAATATAAAGTATTATATATATATATTATATAAGTTACTGATTTAGCCTACATAATGAATGGTCAAGGCTCAGTCCAGTGTGTTGGGACTGTGGGGTTTTGTGTACCATATTCCTCCAGGTAGGGCTGAAAGATTAATCATTTTTTATATCAAAATTGCAACTTGGAAGGCTGCAATTTTAATTTTACCCTATATAATCAACAACATTGTCTTAAGTTTTAAGTGGTGAAATTAAAACCTGCCTGTAGATGAGTTAGACCAATCAGAAACAACCACACACCCATGTGTTGTGACATCACAGCCACAACTTACTGGCAGCCTGCCACACTATATTTATTGTTGAAGCATCAAGCAAGAAGAAGTGCATAGTCTGGTCTTCCTACCTACAGGTGTTTGTGTATGTGAGTGTGTGAGAGATACTGTCTGATTGCTGTGGTGTTTTTCTGAGCAGGGCTAATGCACAGAGACAGACCTTCACTTGGAGAGGCTTCGTTATTGTCCTGCTGCTGTTGACTGGCATCAGTGCTGCAGTGATCTGGCTCTATATGAGTCTGAGTGATGAGATCACAGAGACTCTGGTCTCCAGAAGAGAAGTCCTGACAGAGCCTCGATTATTCCTGGTCCAGTGCTCTGAAGATTATGAAAACTACAAGCGGTTCCCAGGTACCTCCCAACCACCCCTGCACCACCCACATCCGTCTACATTAATGGCACCGATTAAAATCATGTTCATTCTTTTTTGACCACTGCTAAGTTTATACTTCTGAAACCTATTATTGTCATATCATCCCATTCATAAGTTAAGCTTGTAGAATATGTGGCTTTAATTATATTCACTGTGCAGTAGGGATAGCAAGAGTCACCAATTTGCATCGGTGCACTAGCATAAAAGTAAACGATGCAGTTGCCCGATTAAAAAAGTGTGCACCAGATACTGTTTATGATGAACTTGGGATGCATTGTTTCTAACGTCTTTGCATCAGTAAAATCTGATCTATTTATATATATTATTATTAATTATTGGTCAATAACATATGATAGTTTTATGTTTAGTTTGATTCCTCCTTTGTAAACTGTTTCTCAAGTGCACTCTCTCATCTTCACTGCTGTCAGTGGCCCATTCACGTCAAATTTCTCAGCCAAATCTTACACAAAATATGCGATATATGAGTCACTATAAAGTACACAGGCAACGTGACTAACTTGAGTAATTACCTGAAGCAGCGACATGGTGTGAGTGCAGAGACATCCACCTTCACCTCATCCCCCTCAGATTCAGCTCTGACTAGCCCCAGTGGTGACCCTAGCAAGAAGACTGATGAGCAAAGTATCACAACTTTTTTCACCACCCGCTGACCAACAGCTCTGTTCGTTCTAAGATAGAGTAACTGAAGCCATCACCGTATTTATTTGTAAAGATAGCCAGCCTTACAGTGTTATATAGTGTTATAGGTTTTATTTTATCTTTTGTCAGAGACTTTTTGTGCTAAAAAGGACTTGTGAAAAGGCCAAGTGTTTTTTAGAAATCAAAAAGAAACAGCATAAATGAGGTGCTTACTGAGTTGCAGTAGTAGATAAATACCATTGGAAAGGGGTGAATCGTATCGTATCACATTAGTAGTTGCTTCATATGTATTTTTAATGTATTGGATCGTTGGCAATTCATTGAGATCTTTGCTGATGTTTTGCATCGGCCTCAGTAATGGAGATGCAAATCCCTGCTGTGCAGTGGTTCTTAATAGCCCTTTTATAAAACTCATGCATTCCATAGGGAATGATTTTACTGCCCTGATATGCCTAATTCAACTGATCTGCTGTTTGTTCAGTACTGACTAGGATGGAAAGACCAACAGCGTTGAGGCCTCATCATGCATGCTCAGTATTGAACAACATTTTATAATCTCCTCCTGCCCAACATTTTCTTTTAAAAAGGTGTAGAAAAAGTGATAATGTTTGAAAATTCACTCACTCTGCTGATGAAAATATTCCAGTTGCTCTTCTTGTGAATCACCTGTTGGATAAAGAATATGGCAGTATGCAAATGAGCACTGCTTAGTTTCTGCATTAACACTAGGCTTCCTAAGAAGAGAACAAGCATTTTTGTTGCATAAAGCTGCTCATCTGAAGCTGAAAGACAAATAAGCTTTTCAGGTTCAGATCAGTTAATGCACTTGTTTATTTTATTCATTTTGTCCTTCTGTTTATTTGTATTTACAACTTTCTCGACATGCCCAGTAATTAAGTGCCCCTTGAAGGTAAAATATGTTTCTGTAATTCAGTTTAATTCAGGTCAGTACAAATAGTCGCAATTGACTACGGCAAGGCTGTCTATGTGACAATAGCAATAAATGAAAATTCAGTGGAACTAGGTTGAGAGGTGTGGGAAGGCCATATTAAATCCAGTGAGCTTTGTCGTAGGGTTTTCTAAAGAAGTTTGTGTTGAGCAGTCAGCAGCTTGCAGTATAGTACGTGAAATTGAATTCATGCTGGCTGACTCTAGCAGTTCTATTAGTTTCGCTGAGAACAGGTTCAAGTTGAGCATATTGGTTAAAATAGGAGAAGTTCAAGCTAGCCTGTTTTCAGTGAAGCAGCCCCAGGGAAACTGCCAGAACTCAGTGATCCTGATGAAAAGTGTTAAAAGTTATTTTTGAAGTTTTCCCTAACCATTACAGCATTTTTCTGAGAACTATAGAAGCTCTGACAGTTTAAACAGTCTTTACTTTCTGTTTTTAACTCCTTTTACTAGACTAGACAAAGGTTGAAGATTCAGTTCATTCGAGCAGGCAGGAAAGTCATGCTGTACCAAAGTAAACAAACAAACAAATGAAAAAAGACTGCATCTGATTGGGGCGTTTTGTTCAGGTGTATTAGTGTGAGGCACTCAGGTCATGAATGACAGTCCGGACTCTCTTGCGATCACTCCTTACGGAACTCATTACTAGCCCTCATGCTGGCATCAAAAGACTCCACACAACCCAAACAAAGACAGTGCTGGGGTTAATGAGCCCTTCTCGGGTCTGTTCTCCTTCCACAGCCTCCACTGGCTGTAAATCAGAATAAGGGAAAGAAAGCTGAAAGGAAGGAAACCACTCCAGTCCAGATAGCCAAACACAAAACTCAGAAGTAGTAGACTGAGTGTGCTAGGAATGATAATCTGAAATGTTTGGTGTGTTTCATACAGTATTCACAGTAATAGTGTGGTGTTGTTAGTGGTGGATTGATGTGTAGTGATACGATACTATTGCAGCTGAAATGCAGGCTGAACTGCACCATGGTCATGAATTAGGGCTGGCCCTAAACCCTTTACAGGCTTCGAATACTTGCTAGTGTTTCCAAATGAGTACTCGAACTCTTGTTCTCAGTGTGATTCTTAAAAACGTGAATATTTCCCTGATTCATAATTAACCATCATTTCAAGTCATTTATTTTAGATCATCATATTTTTGTGCATTTATACATCCTTTTTACAATGAATGTACCAGAGATGCTGAAGGATAGATGTGCTGTAACCCCTGCCAGAAAAACCAGTGTAGAGTTGCATGGCTGGTCACCAGTAAAAACAGCATATGTTGTGTTTTGGATGCTGGTATGCTGGTCAACCACCATGACAATGCAGGGTGACCAACTAAACAAGCATGGAATTCATGCTGTTCTGTGCTGTGTTTTTTTAGCAGGGATGTTATGTCAGATAAGGAGGCAGATAAGTTTGACTGGATTTCTGGTTACCTAGACAGCAGGATGGTACAGAGGTTTGTTCAAGACTTTAGCCTTTTAAAATCTTTGTTTAGGTGTGTTTACACGGTCAGTTTTACATTGGTTAGTGAATGATTAGCCAAGTTCAAATTCCATTGCAAACCTATTGATCGAAGTTCAGGTTTGAGAATGAAATAATTGCAAATCTCGTTTAGCATTGAGCACTATACTGCATTCGCATGAATCCATGATAATTCATGTCTTATAGAAATCAGCCAAACCAGTTAGCTAGCCTGATATCTCTGCTTATCTCTATCTCTCATTTTCGTGACGGCTTGTGGACATGCTTAGATTCTTCACCTGAATGTCATACAACAGTCAGAACTATAGCCAAACATGTATTTGGCAATTTCTCTTTGTTTAAACATTGCCATGTTATATTTGCTAAGTCTTCTAAAATCATAGGAATATTATATATTAAAAAGATTCCAGTCTGATCATGGGTGATAATTTACATAATTTCAAGACCTACCTGAAATAAAACCTCAAACATCCTCTCATCGGCGGTAATGTGTGGAAAATTTTCCAGTGTTAATGTGTGGAATGTTTTTGTTCCCAGGCTGTACTCCTAAGAAATGTGGCCGAGCTGTTATAGACAGTGTGGTAACCAAGGAGGAGGCACAGGCACTAAGGAGGTGAGTGTAAACTCAATCTCTGTCAATCTCTGTCAAACACACACAGACCACATCTATAACATTCTCTTTGAATCCACAGGTTAGCTGAGAGAGGACTATCACTCGGTGGTTCAGATGGAGGCGTGAGTAGAAAATACTTTATTCAGGATTTTGTCTGCGTTTTGACTGTTTTATCTAATAGCCAGTGTAAAGGTCTTAGGTACATAAGCTAAACCATTTGTCCATTAAGACATTGATCTGGGCAATAAGTGTGTGTTTGCTTGTAAAACCTATGTGTCTATATATCATTAGAATGAATACAAACATACATTAATGCAGAAAAAAGTAACATGAATATTTATTAATTTATTTATTTATTCATCAATCAATCAATTAATTGTTGATATCTTGTAAGCTAAGTTTGGTTCCAGAGTTCTCCTCGATGTTAAATAAACACTCACTGCCCAGATAAGTAGCTTTCTAAATCTAATTTTTTCAGGTGCCTGTAAGAGAGCACTGTATGTGTATGTATATAAGTGCACTGCACACAGCTTATCAGCATCTCAGTTTCTGCATATTATTTGGGTGGTGGATGATTTTTAACACACCAGCAACACCAACATGGTAGGAGCATGATGTATGCATGGCACTGGTAAGAGTGTATTTGGGTCAGCAGTTTTGACTGAGATGAATTACAGTTTATAACTGTGGACCAACAAGCGGGCAGTAAATGTATGTTTTTAACAGTTATTTTTCATATTTCTGATCACAGAAATATCTCAGTTTCTCTGACACAGATATTTTAATAGTGATTGCACATCCCTGTAAAGTACACAAGAGGGCAGTATTTGACTTCCAAGTAATATAGAGGTGACCATCAACCTTTTTCTCATTTACAGTTAAGATTTAATAGTTCTGTTAAAATAACCAAGCTGTTATAGTCAAACTTAAATTGGTGCTATTAATCTTGATATACCTTTGAATATGTCGTTGACAGCTGTGTTTGCAGTGTGCTGTACTGAAGATTTTGACTGAGTATAGGTTCTCAAGGGTGCTGCACTCATAAAAGAAAAAGCTTCAGTTACATACATTTTGGGACTCTTTAGCTTGTCTCTACAGAGACTATTCTTGGTTCTTTTATAGAGGTTCTGTGAAAATCAGTCAAGTAATATAATTTCCCAGTACTAAAGGAGTCCTGAAGGATACCCAAAACCCAAATAACAGACAGCATTTTTAAAGCCATCCTTTTTATCACAGCTCTGCGGTGAGTACCTTATTCAAGAGGCCTGTGAGAGACAGAAGAGCAAAAGTAATAGAAGTTGCAGGTCTCTGAAATTTCCTTTTATTTCATTGAAGAGGTGCACTGTGGTGAAGTATTGGCTGTGGATTTGAAGTGTTATGACCCACAGCACAATTTCCAGAGCGCTTCCAGAAATATTAGCATTGCTCTTTTGGCATGCCTCTTTAGACCGCACAGAACCGCATGAACCGTCCAAGAGGCTTAGACTTCAAGAGACTAAGCCAGACTTCCCGCTGCTTCATGCAAAGCATCTTTTTATGAAGTGTGACTGTCTTAAGCTGGAGATAGGAAAATGGCGTTTGTTTTCGAACGAGCCTAGCTAATCCAGAATTATTCATATTCTGTGCTGAGACAGAGAGCAGGGAATACCTCAGCTAGTTTTCTTCCACCTGCTGAGCTGTAACCACAGAATTAGCAAGATGCGGATAGAGACTGAATGTGTGAGGTTGTGAATTTCCCGCTGTCGGGCGATATGGTATGCATCTTGATACACAGTTTATAATATGACACAAAAGCAATACAGTAACGAACAAAAAATGACTCAATACACTTTGATTCACTATTGATCTCATACGATTTGGTTCAGCATGATACGATTTGATTCAGTTCAGGTCTGATCCACTGTGATTTAGGTTAATTAAACTCAACATGCGTTGATGTGACCTAATTTTAACTGTTTCAGGAACAGCAATTTCTGTACTACATTAATTAAAAAAAAGAAACAGTAGCATGGTTGTCATATGACAGCTGTCATATATTCTCTGATTCTGTTCTGGGCTGTGTGTGCAAAGCAGGTTATCAATCAGGAGAAATGTAATGTCCTGTACTTGTAGTATGAGATGTCCATCTGTTGGTTGTCAAAGCTATTTGCTCAGGCCCAACAGAACCTGCGAGTGAATAGTTTAGTCTGCTTTTGTAGCACATGCCATCACTAAATGTATTAGCAGAGCTGACTAGCATGCAGATCCGCATGGCTGCCAGATCAGGCAAAATCAAGGATTTTCAATCAAGTGACTCTGGTCAAGTGCATTGAATTTTTGACCTCCGAATCGGATTTTAGCTGTTTATTTTTTTCTTTTAGATTCAAACCAGATGTCGGCTTGTAAGTCGGTGAAGCCATATATTTATCGCTTTTTTTTCACCCTCATACATGCAATCTCAGTGTGTATCATCGCTGTCCAAAGAAGACCTCACCCACTTTTTCCACTCCATTTGAAAATGCAGTTTAAATTGTGTGAACATTTCATGATGAATGGACCAATAGAAGTGGCCCAAAATGACTGGGGGGTGGGGTGAGGAGGGGGATCTTTACATTACCATACATCAAAGTTGAAAATGTTTTTTCCTTCTCCTATAAAGTTACTGTTTCAGAGTAAGGGTGGGCAATATGGCAAATGTCATTTTCATTATACATAGTATGTATTAAAATATATATATATATTTTAATGTTTGATGAGTTGGAACAGATGAAAAAGTAGGGCAGCATTTAAAAATGCTGTCAAAAACTGAGTACAATGAAAATTTAGCAGCTAACTGAGGAAAACATTTGTAGAAAAAAAAGTTGAGGGAAATCGGTTTTCATGTTGGATGTAAACCATGTTTCTCAGAGAAATGTATTTCTACTGTTTCTGTAAATTGCTTATATCAGCTAGGCTATTAAGCCTAGTTAACAAAAAAGCTGCTATAACAATGTGTGCTTGGCAACGCGCTCACATTAAGGCAATTGTGTATTAGCTGCAAAGTATAATATACATGCTTACTCAGAAATATGATCAAAAGCGTAGTATTTCTACAGTCCTATTAAATGGAAAGATTCTCCAAATAGTGATTTCAGTATTTAAATACTGGCACCTTGAATGGTTAACTGAGTACTTGAGCACCTGTGCAGACCCCTACTTCAGCATATTGTCATGTAATTTACCACAGTAACGATAAATATCATCATATTGCTCTACCCTATTTCAGAGATATGCAGTTTCATCATGACAGAGACAATATATTGTAAGCGATGTACTAACCTGCATTCTGAATACTAAATACGTTGCCCTAAATATATTCAGTAATGTATTCCATTACAGTACATAAAAGGTAACGCATTCAGGATACGTTTAGAATACATCGCTATTACTGGTTGGCAGTTTGCTTCATGTAATTCTTCTGTTAGTATTTTTCAAGAAAAATTCTCTTATTTAAATAAAATGACCAAATTCTCAGCATTTTTGCTCTCATTGCCTGCTTCAGTCCACTGTTTCTCCCATAATCCCAATGCCATCTCATGAACTAAGGAAACAATTCGCCACACCCCAATAACTAAATCTTTCACTGTAATGTGGGTAGTTGTGATTTTCAGTAAATGACATGCACAAAATGTGCCACAAAATGCTTACATGAGTCCAGTAAAGGAGTGTTGCTAAGCTTATCAGTCATCGACATGTCTACTACTAAGGAAACTGTTCAGTTTGATCATACCATAAAAGAGCTCAGTAATGCTGAGAATTGGCTCATCACACTGGTTTATCAGTCTACTTAGGCTTTAGCAGACCTCATTAACACAGAGATAAATAACAGACTCATGACATTGATTTATCAGACTACTCAGGCTTTAGCAGGAACTTCAGTGTTTGTAAAGAAGCTGTTTTTAAGTTCTTTGCATTGATGGTGTTTCTTTTAAAGATGGAATATATTTTTAAAATTTAGTAAGTACTCTATAAATGTAAAAGGTAACTGTGCTCTGAATACTGCCTTTTCAAAATGTAACTTGGACTGGATACAGACACTTATTTTCTGTATTCTAAATACATATTTCAAATACTTGTATTCTGTCACATCTCAACATTGCTTACATTTTCCAATATCCTTTTGGGTCAGTGAAAAGTTTTTGCCTGCCTTATCTGTGTTTTCTCCGTCTATTTTCACCAGAACTCTTTTGTTCTTATCTGCTATTCAGATGTGGGTTTGCTTTTCTTTTTTGGATCATCGTCTTGCTCCATAAACCGATTATGTTTCAGCTTCAGCTTGTGGACTGATGAACAGACAGTCTACTTATAAATTCATGAATTCATGGTTCCTTCAGTAATAGCAAGCTGTCCAGGACCTGAGGCTGCAAAACATCCATATTGTAACATAATTTATCACAATAACAATAAATATTGGCATATTGTCCACCTCTAATTCAGAGTTATCTGCGGTAATATACTAATATAAACAATGCAACCTGCAGCTTCGGTTCAAGTATTAATTTGGATCTGTGGGTAATTTCTATATAAAACCTCCATGTGTTTTTTTTTCTATTTATTTGATCTATTTTCTGTAGGCATCCATCCTAGACCTTCACTCTGGAGCTCTGTCAATGGGGAAGAAGTTTGTCAATATTTACAGGTGAGCCAGTAAGTCGAATAAGAAGAGTTAAACTTCTTGAAGCAGGGTTGGAAAGTTATATGTGTGACTCATCTCAGCTGAACATCTCAAGCCTAGCATAGCTCTATCAGCCTCTCTCAGCATACTTTTCATCTGCACATCAAAGTATGCCTCAGGGTCTTGAGTCCTAAGGCGAAATTTATTGGGAACTGAGTTAGACCCGCATTTCTCATGCTGCTTACCTTTTATTCTTGACACCTGGAAGTTTTCTTGTAAGCCTGCTCTGTTTAGTGAAGGTTGCAATCCTGTGCCCTCAGTCAGGCTGCCAGAGTGCAGTTGGACATCTGGCATATGTTGACAGGCTCAGGATGCTACAGTGTCTCTGTGTGTGGAACAGCCTGCATTTTAATTTGTCTACAATATTTGTATTCCAGTATTTGCAGACCTGTTAAACTGGGTCACAGTAATATATTTGCTGTTGGCTTTCAGGTCCAGTATGTCTCAATTCTGCCTTTTCTGTTTCTTTCCAGGTATTTTAGTGACCAAATAAGGGAAGTGTTCACTGAAGAGGATTTTACACTTTATAGGTAGAGTAAAGCCTACATTTTGCACTGATAAACATAAAGAATTATCCTATTAATTATCTCATTAATTGGCTCATTTCTCACAGTGTCACATCTGCCCATCCATCCATCCACTTCTCTAACCATTAATTCATACATTCATTTAGAAGATTTATTAGAGCTTCCCTGAAATAACAGTCCGTATATATATATATATATATATATATATATATATATATATATATATATATATATATATATATATATAATATAGTGTGTGTGTGTGTTCATAAGTGCATATATATGTTTTTAGAAATGTAAAGGTGTTTTGTAATCAGAATACAAAAAATGTATCTGTTACAGTAAAAAAAAACAGTAATCAGATTACAGGTACATCATAAAAACAGCATGATTACCAGCAGAATTACATTCAAAAGCAAACTCGTTGTCTTTCACCCAAAATCATATTAATGATAAATATGTCATAGATTTAAAGAGTTTTTTGGGGTAAGGGGGACAGTGGTGCTGCCAGGAGAGAATTCTGAATAACCCCCCTCCCAGCAGCAGTTCAGTTTTTATTCAGCCAAACTATATAAATTTTATAAAGTATTTTATTTTTATTGGCAGAACTGAGATCTGCAGCATTTTTCTGAAGATCTCTTGACATTTAACCTGGATTTCCACATTGCCAGATTTTACTGCAGCAGTCTGATCTGATCGGGTAGTAAACTCTTGATTCACGTTTGGTGCTCCATAAAATTTGACAGTTTGATGGTCTACAAATCAAATTTTTAAAATCCTTAAACTGACAGATTTTAACTAACAGTCTTAAACGGGAAAAGAGAGCGAATTAAGTTAGTTACGTCTTGTGAGCGGCAAAGTTTTGTTTTTCCTTGAATGATTTCCTTCTTCAGTAGTTTTTGAATGATGTATACAAAATGTTAATATGTGTAAATGATCATTATTTGTACCTAAGACAATCAGCTCCCACTTAATGCCTATTTTAATGCCTATATAAAATTGTAGGATTTCTGTGGACTGAAACCACTGAGAGCTGATTAGGGGCTTCTAAAAAATGTATTAAACAGAAGAAAAGAGATTTATATGCGGTATGCACTCCAACACTCTCTGCCCTGTGAGTTTTTGTGGTCTAACGCTTTGTGGCTGAGCTGTTGGTGTTCCTAGATGCTTCCATTTCACAATAATAGCACTTGACCAGGGCAGATCTAATAGGGCAGACATTTCAAGAACTGACTTGTGACAAAGGTGGCATCCTATGACAGTGCCGCGTTTACAGTCACTGAGCTGTGCAATAAGACCCTTTCTACAAAAAGTGTTTGTTTTTAGAGATTTCATGGCTGTGTGCTTGATTTTCTACACCTGTTGGCAGTGGGGCTTGCCGAAACACCTGAACTTGATAATTAGGAGGGGTGTCAATTTGCTTTTGGCCATGTCTCAAGTATGACGTTATATTACATCAAACCTTTGCAATACTCATGTGTGTCTGTTTCCACATTAAAAGTGCATATTTAAGTCTTGCATAATTTTAACTAAAATGTAATACTTTATCTGTGTCCGTAATTAAGGTGTGAGTGTTTTATATGTAATAATAATGTAGTTGCTTTTAGTGACATGAAGAGTAAGTGTTTTTAGCTCTTTAGAGAAGGCATGTTAAAAAGTTGGTTCTGGTCTCATTCAGCATTTATAATTTGTTGATTTCTCCGACCTTGACAGGGTCCATCCCGTTAACGTGTACACCCGGTCACACAAAATGGGTGTTTTTTGTAATATTTACAGAAATCATATAATTCACAGAAATGTAGAAGTTAGGTTAGACAGATTAGACAGAAATATTATTTATATTTATATTAATATATATATTTTTTTCCTTTACAAGTTCAGTGTCATAGTGTGATGGAGTTGTACTTCTTGTTTTATATATATATATATATATATACACACCTTGACATATTATATATATATATGTACACACCTTGACAATTTTCAAAATAGCATGTCCATTTGGCACATATCTCATGGAAGAGCTCATAAAAGGATAAATATGAGTGAACAGTAAATGTTAATGAACAGGCATTTAACAGGCAGACGCACAGGATGTATAATAATAATAATAATAATAATAATAATAATAATATTTTGATTATGATTCTTCAGGAAATTATTCAGATCTTCACAAAATCTGATATTTCACCATGATTTGATACTTGATTATTTTTGCACAAGATTTTTTTGTGGATTACCGTAGATTTGAGACAGTTCTAGCATTCCTTATGCGATGCAATTGATGCCTCATTTTACACGCCTAATTGCTATGGTAACATTTATTAAATGTTTACTTATGTGTGTCCTGTTCTAAATCAGGGATGTGCGTGGTCGTATTCAGAGGGTGATTGCTGAAACATTTGGGCTGGACTCCTCTCAGATGTACCTCACAAAGCCTACGTTCTTCTCTCGTATTAACAGCACCAGTGCCAAGACTACTCATGATGAGTACTGGCACCCACACATTGACAAGGTAACACACACACACACACACACACACACACACTAATCTCAAAAGAATGCTCAAACACTGGAAAATGTTATCCTCAGTTATTTGGATAGTCTTGTGCGTGGTCAGAGGTCTAATGTTCTGTAAAGTCTTACTGCAAATTCAATTACAGCATTTACAAAAGAGCCTGCAAATGTCTAATGTAGAAAATGACTACTTCAGTTTAAAATGTGTAGATTTCAATGTGCCGACCATCCAGCAGGTTCTTGACATGGCAGCTGTTTACAAAAAACAGAACAGCTTCATTTATAGCTGTTGGTATTGTGCATTGTTTTGTATGTTTATTATTTCACATGATGTGAATGTTAACTCACTCATTCTATTGTTATACTGTAATTTTTTGGGAGATACAGCACTGGGCAGGATTTTCCCTAAACTGTTTTGCCTGTAGCCACGTCTTACTTATTTATAAGCTTTGATAACGAACTGTTTTTATTTTCTCTTGACTTGTTTTATGACTTGTGTGTTTGATTTGCAGAGTTTAGGAATGTATTCAGGCAGTATGTTTTAAACAGGCGAGGCAATTTCCTCTGTTCAGCCGTAATTGGGGTGGGGGACTGCTTGACACTTGGCCTGACTTCAAAGCAGCATCAGCTGAGGTGATCAGAGCATCCACCGAGATGCATGGAAGAGCCAAGAAAAAAAAGAAAAAATCCCCATCTGTTTACTGGAGGAGGCATTTATAATTGCTGTGAAATTCTTTTAAAGGAGCATTCCAGTCAAAATTAATATGCATGAAAACTGTTTAGAGGATTTTACCCAATGCACATCAGGCTTAGTGTGCCTGGGAAAAAAAGGAACTAGTTCACCTCATCAGTGAATGGAAAGCAGTTGTGTTCTTCAGGGATCATAGCAGACATTCCCTATCTCGCTAATACAGGACCAGCACCCCCTGTTCAAAACCTTATCTTAATCCCTTTACAGAACTGCTCTTAGATCAGCTTATAAGACAAGCTTATCACACTGAAATAGGAAGCAACACAACTTCTTGCTGTTTATTGATTCATTCATTCTCTTTTTCCCAGAACACTAAGCATTGGTTAGATCCTGAGTAGAATGAAAGACTGAAATGTGAAATGAAGAGGAATTCTGTCTGCATGTTATTATTTTGTTATTTTATGATATATACTGTCAGGAAAAATGGGTACAGTACAGGTAGATTTTTGTCCCCCAGGGTAAAGTGAATGCGCTCTCAAAGGCAAAACATGGTCCTCAAGGTACAATAGTGTGTCTTAAATGTGTTGAATAAACACTACATTCACTTTCTCAAAAGGTGTGTGTATACACCAATTTAACCATTTATTTTAAATAGAAAACTCAGTGCAACTTAGAAAAAAATAATTGCAGTGGAATATGGTATAATTTCAGTGTTGTGCAAAAGTCATAGACCACCCTTCATTTTTTTTTTTATTTCCAGTCAAAATGACCATTACGTACGAGTTATTAGTTTTTCAGTGCCAGGGACAAAAACAGAAATTTACACAGAAGACTTTTCAGGGGACTCACTTTCATTTTGTCAAAAAAATCTGCAGGGATATTTTTCCACACCTCCAAAGTTCAGTCGCAGAAGTTTGTTGCATTTTTTTCCTCAATCCAGGTATTTCCAATCACATTTAATTATGTTGAGGTTTGCACTCTGGGGTGTTCAGTCCATTGTTCTGAGAACTTTAGCAGCTTCTTGATTTGATTTGGAAATTTTCTTTTTGTCTCTTTCCTTTTTTCAGTAATGGCTTCTTGACAGCTGCACATCCTTTCAGCTGAATTGTCTTCTCACAGTAGAAGGATGAACAGAAACACCTGTTTTATTTTTTTTCAGATCTGCAGTAATAGTGGAGCTTCATTTTCTCTTCTCTCTCAAAGATGAAAGATTTAAATACTGTTCATCTGATGGTCACAGTTTTGGTGTTCTACCAGGTTTTGCATGCTTGTTAGGATTCTCATTTTCTCTACATCTTTCAATATTTTTTTTGAACTCCAGTTTTGGAAACTCTTTTGGAAACCTTTTTTTTTTTAATGTTCCTTTGACTTTCTGCTTCCTTATGCAAGCGCATTATTTCTTTCTGATTTCCTCAGGTTAAGGTACTGAAGAGGGGCACTCAAGGATACCACAGTGTAACAATATTATACCTTGAGGATGCAATGCGTTATAACAGTATTAAAGATGCTCAGCAGCAAAAGCTTTGTTTTGGAATGAATGCTGCTGTTATGTTTGCCAGTAGCTGCTTTATGTATTCTCTCAGAGAAAGATGTATTTCACTCAAACTTCCTCTTAATGTATGCATTCTAAATCAGATGTCAACATAAGATAATGGGCCATAGCTATTAAAGGTTGAAACCTACTTGGATCACATAATTTTTCCTCTATTTCCTAGTGCCGTGATCACAGTAAAGCATGTTCAAGCATGTTTAATGAGCTTGGGACATGATTGAATATTCATGTCTATTAGTACAGTTTATCAGGCTCTTTGTTTGGAAGCAGCTTTGATCTCTGAAGAATGAACTGTGTCTTTTGATGCCAGATGTAAAGATGCATAGCATTTTGAATTATATTGGTTTTGTTTCACAGCATGCCTGTATTAGAGGGGTGATGGTGCATGTGTTTGAGAGAGGCGGATGGTGTTCCAGTTGTTTGCCTCTTTATTAATTCAGGTCCCCGTTCATGTTTTTGAGTCTGCGGTATAAATTGCATTCAGAAATTTCAGCACAGCCATCATCTGCCATTCCGTACCACACTTTCCCTAATTGCCCCAAGCCCTCCCACATTTACATAGAAATGGATTATACCACACTACTGTTAACATGCTGCCATTTTCTGTGCTGGCAGCATTTGCCCCTGTGAGATTGGAGAAGAGTTTTTGATGTGCATATGGTAAAAAGAGAGCAATTTCCACTGGGATTTCCGCTATTACTGGTTTTTGAATAGGCACTGGTAGCCGCCAAGACAGCAAAAGCCACACCATTTGGAACTGTCAAGTGTGAAGTAGTTAAATCTGTGGTTCTCCACCTAGAAACATGAGATATATTTTGTTTGGATATATTGAGCTTTCCCTTCAAGAAGCAGAAGATGTCTAAAATATCAGTGGGCAAGTTTCAGTAACTCATACAAACACTTCCCAGTGCAAAGCCCAGTGCATTAAAATGATTATATTTAACGTTGTAACTAAATGTGAATGTCATTGAATTAATGTAACACACACATGGACAAAATTGTTGGTACCCTTCCGTTAAAGAAAGAAAAACCCACAATGGTCACTGAAATAACTTGAAACTGATAACTCGATAGTCTTGAGATTTCATTGTACCCTGCACAGATTCAAAACACTCTGTGCCAGATGCAGCAAAGCAGCCTCAAAACATAACCAAGCCTCCTCCATGTTTCACAGTAGGTACAATGTTCTTTTCCTTGTATGCTTCATTTTTGTGTCTGTGAACATAGAGCTGATGTGACTTGCCAAAAAGCTCCAGTTTTGTCTTATTTGTCCAAAGGACATTCTCCCAGAAGCTTTTTGGCTTGTCGATATGCATTTTGGCAAATTCCAGTCTCGCTTTTTTATGATTTGCTTTTAACGGTTTCCTCCTTGGCTGTCTTCCATTACGTCCACTTTGGCTAAAACAGTGACGGATGGTGCGATCTGACACTGATGTACCTTGACCTTGGAGTTCACCTCTAATCTCTTTGGAAGTTGTTCTGGGCTCTTTGGTTACCATTTGTACTATCTGTCTCTTCAATTTGTCATCAAATTTCCTCTTGCAGCCATGTCCAGGGAGGTTGGATACCGTAGACCTTAAACCTTTGAATAATATTTGCAACTGTAGTAACAGGAACATCAAGCTGCTTGGAGATGGTCTTATAGCCTTTACCTTTAACATGTTTGTCTATAACTTTCTTTCTAATCTCCTGAGACAACTCTCCCCTTAGCTTTCTGTGGTCCATGTTCAGTGTGGTACACACCATGATACCAAACAGCACAGTGACTACTTTTCACCCTTTAAATAGGCAGACTGACAGATTACAAGTTTGAGGTGATGCTAATTACAGGACACGCCTTAGTTTAACATGTCCCTATGGTCAAACTATTTCCAATATTTTCTAGGAGAACCATCATTTTTGTCCAGGCTAGTTTCATTAGTTTGTTTTTCAAAATTATTCTGTTGAACCACAATTCAAAAGCAATGTCTGATTTTCATTAGTTGATTTTCAGTACATTTTTATTTATTATTACTTTTGTCAGTTTCAAGTTATTTCAGTGACCATTGTGGGTTTTTCTTACTTTACCGGAAGGGTACCAACAGTTTTGTCCACGTGTGTAAAGGTTAGTGTTTTGATAGTTTGCCAGGTCTTGCACGGATGAGTCCCATTTTCTCTGGATCTTTTAAAGGATTTTTTGAACTCCGGTTTTGGAACATATTTTGAAATTATTTATATTTTATTGTTTTTAGCTTATTTTTTATCTTTCCTTTTCTCATGCAATCATTTTATGTCTTATATCCTTAGGTTAAAGACCCTCGAGGATACCACAAAATAACAATGTTAAACTTGAGGGTAGAATACCATACAACATTAAAGATCTTCAGCGGCAAAAGCTCTGTTTTGGAATGATCTTGCTGCTGTAAATGCTGGTCATTAGCCAGCATAGATAAAAGTATAGCCCTATTCGAGCTGGATTAGTTTTACCAGTGGAGGTCTGGCAATGTAATCTGTAAGGGATTCAGCTGGCCGATTCATATAGGATAAAGTATCTGTGTGATTTTCCCAAATTAACCCAGATAACTTGGATCAAAACATCATAGCCCGGATGTTCACTTAAGACAAACAAAAACAAACTTCAAGTTAATACCAGATGGAATAGCATTAGGCTAGTAAAGTGGGCTCATTCAACTTAATACTATCCAGCAGAAGAAATCACAGTGCCTGTGAGAAGTACCTTCAATATTTAATTTCACTCTCCTGATAAGCTCGTCACAAAAAAATGTTGAAGATTACGGTAGTCCTGTGGAACTATGACGAGCCGAATTTTAACAGTTAGCCGAAAAAAAAAACAGTCGCCAAAAAATGCTGATGTCTCTTACCAGGATTTATTATTACTGAAGTTACTGAAGGAGCTCTGAGTTTGGCGAATTATAGGACCTAATTCATTCTGGAATTATTGCTAAACAGACTTGTAAAAACTATGCATGTGGCATAGTTCTGATCTGTGATCACTCAACTAACAGTATCTCCCCAGATACAACTTAGCCAGCTCTAATAGGGCTTATGCTTGGAACGTTTGCTATTACTACAGTCCTTTATAAAATTTGTGATTTTTACAGGTAACATATGGGTCCTTCGACTACACATCATTACTCTACCTGACAGATTATGGTGTGGATTTTGGAGGAGGGCGATTCATCTTCGTGGACCCGAACAGCAACCGAACAGTGGAGCCTCGAGCAGGTAAACAATACTTTACTGAATGGCATTTAAAGTCTAAGACTGTGTTCATGTGCTATTTGAAATGAATGAAAATGAATGATGGGCCCTTTAAATGCCAAACAGGCGTCTCTCGCCTTTATGCCCTAAGCAGATGTTCAGTGTGAAACCGTTTTCAAACCAGGTTCTGAGTAGAGTTGAGACTAGCATAATGGCTGGGCATCACTGATTCATTCATTTTTTAATACACAGACTGCTGCGGTAAAACCTTGGATCGAGGCTGTCATTCAGTAAAGTCAGTGTTCTCTTGAATGTAATGGTCTTTCAGACTGAAATACGTTTTCATTCTTTTTCATTTGTCTCTTTCTTTTTTTGTCTTCAGTTCTGTGTAGAACCTCAGCCCATGCTGAGGAAAGCACCCCAAGTGCAAGGTTGTGTAGTGCTGCATAAGCAAGTGGTTCTATGCAGCACAGGCCTCGTGTCTTTTACCACACATGATGCTTTGAAGTTGAAAATGATAAATAATTATTACTCAAATAAAATATTAATGCAAATGTATTTTTGCTTGAGCCACTAAACTCTATGGCTTTGCGGAATTAATTACCATTAATTGCAGGCCTGAAAGTAGCTTCCCATGTCCTTTGAGAACTTCTCTGCTTAACTTGCTGAGAAACCCTGCACATTTGCTGACAAATGATCTTAAAATAATGATATTTGGGATAAAATATCTGTATGTGTATAATGGGGCCCTTACAGATAAATTTGTGGCCAATAACGATTTTAAGGGTTTGAAAATTCTGACCACCAATATGGGCAGATGTAATTTTCTGTTTATGTTTTCACTTTATACTCTGCTATATTTAGTGAAACAGTACTTTACTGACTGCTATGACTGTCAGCTGTGAATTATGGAATATGTATGTCATTTCTCAATGGTAATGTTTCTTAAAGAAACCTAGTTCCAGATAACTCCACCCCTTGAACCTTGAAAAAACATTTGATAGTGGAAGATGGTGGGTGCTACAGCAGCAAAACGCCAACAGAGAAAGCAATACCACTCTGTCTCTGTGAGTTTAACTTCATTTTGACCCAAACAAAGCCTGTTAACACGATTACACAATTCCAGTGAAGCATATGCATGGCTTTGCATCTTTCTTATAGAATATAAACAGTGATGGACAGAATGGTGCAATTTTCTTGCGCATACAGAAATCCAAACCCATCTTGTTTAATTCAAGTAATATTAAACCTAATGTAGAAAAGTGAATGTTCACCATTGTTAGTTTTGCGCTAATATAACACAAAGAAACACATAGATAGGCTAGCAGAAATTAGTGTTCTTGTATTGTTGGTCATTTCTGGTGAAACAAAGATGAAAACCAGATTCCATTGCCTTGTTTTTTCCACTTGCTGTGGCAGTGTCTCACGCAGCGAACCTTAACTAGCGAGGAGGGTGTCATAATCAGTGGGCGGTAACGTTGGCTGACTGTTGTGTACACTGTCACGTAGATTCTTACTCCAATACTGGCCTGTGTCATTTGCATCTATAACAGAATTGAACCAGAGGGAGCACTGCATCTGCTGACCTGGCCACAACTTTGATGTTATTTCCACATTTGGAAAAGTAGCGTTTAAACTTCAAGACTGACGTTTATTATTACAAAGCAATATATTTCAGTTTTTAATAAAAAATGACTTTATGCAGGGTTTTTGTCTGGTGCACATAGGAGACAGGAGCACATAGAAAAATCTGTGAGTGCAAACTCAATATTAACCTTTTTATTCTCTCTTTTGTCTTTATTTCTTCTCCTAGTCAGAGAAGATGTTTAATTCAGCAGTCATTTTTCCCTACATGTTCATGTGCTTACGTTTACAATATCTGAACAATATTAGGTGCTATAAATTTCAGTCATGTAGTATTTATGATGTTCTTTCCTTGCAGTTTCTTCCATTTCATCTATGTTCCTGTCTTTTTTATATTTAACGCAAAGTGTGCCTTTTGTAGCAACAGTTTTATAAGTTTGGCCTGTAAGCCTGTTTTTTTGAAATGCATAAAAAAAGATGCCTTTTTTGTGCTTGTTAAGCAGAAAGTGCATGAAGATGTGCTAAAAATCAAATGGACTCATTTTGGAGTTTAAAAACCATCAGTGCTACTGAATGGAGAGCATTCCTGGTGGTGCGATCAATGCAGCACGCCTACTCTACAAACTCTAATAACTCACGTAACACATTTCCCTTATTTTAAGGTCAGTGCTGTCAAATTAAACACTCCATTCAGAAGATTTTTCTGTTGTATAGAAATATGATGCACAAAATTAAAAAATAAAACATTGTTGGCTTTAATTTGGTGAGGTCATATTGGCTAATAGTACCAGGCATGGTGTTGCAAGCTTTTTCAGAGAGCTCATAAGATGAGACCACAGCAAAGGCAAAAACGTGAGTCTGTTTGGCAGGTTAGTTAAGCTTCTTGTAACAAATTTACTGAAAGGTTTTTACTCTACACTTCCTCCTAATGTCTTTTTACCCTAATCCTCCTCCTAATGTGTTTTTACACTAAACCTCCTCCTAATGTGTTTTTACACTAAACCTCCTCCTAATGTGTTTTTACCCTAAACCTCCCCCTAATCTGTTTCTGCTCTATACCACCTCCCACTGTGTTTTTACCCTAAACCTCCTCCTTATGTGTTTTGCTCTATACCACCTCCTAATTTGTTTTTACCCTAAACCTCCTCCTAATCTGTTTTTGCCCTATACCTCCTCCTAATGTGTTTTTGCCCTGTACCTCCTCCTAATGTGTTTTTACTGTGTATCTCCTGCTAATGTGTTTTTACTCTATACCTCCTTTTTATTGTGTTTTACTCTACATCTCCTCCTAATGTGTTTTTTTACTCTGTACCTCCTCCTAATCTGTTTTTGCTCTATGCCGCCTCCTTATGTGTTTTTACCCTAAACCTCCTCCTAATGTGTTTTTGCTCTATACCTCCTCCTAATGTGTTTTTACCCTAAACCTCCTCCCAATCTGTTTTTGCTCTATACCTCCTCCCAGTGTGTTTTTACTCTATACCTCCTCCTAATGTGTTTTACTCTATACCTCCTCCTTATTGTGTTTTACTCTACATCTCCTCCTAATGTGTTTTTTTACTCTGTACCTCCTCCCAGTGTGTTTTTGCTCTATGCCTCCTCCTAATGTGTTTTTACTCTATACCTCCTCCTAATGTGTTTTTACTCTGTACCTCCTCCTAATGTGTTTTACTGTACACCTCCTCCTAATGTGTTTTTACTCTATACCTCCTCCTAATGTGTTTTACTGTACACCTCCTCCTAATGTGTTTTTACTCTATACCTCCTCCTTATTGTGTTTTACTCTACATCTCCTCCTAATATGTTTTTTTTTACTCTATACCTCCTCCTAATCTGTTTTTGCTCTATGCCTCCTTCTAATTTGTTTTTACTCTATACCTCCTCCTAATGTGTTTTTACTCTGTACCTCCTCCTAATGTGTTTTACTGTACACCTCCTCCTAATGTGTTTTTACTCTATACCTCCTCCTAATGTGTTTTACTGTACACCTCCTCCTAATGTGTTTTTACTCTATACCTCCTCCTAATGTGTTTTTATTCTACACCTCCTCCTAATGTGTTTTACTGTACCCCTCCTCCTAATGTGTTTTTACCCTATACCTCCTCCTATTGTGTTTTTACCCTATACCTCCTCCTTATTGTGTTTTACTCAACAGGTCCTCCTAATGTGTTTTTGCTCTATACCTCCTCCTAGTGTGTTTTTACCCTAAACCTCTTCCTAATGTGTTTTTACTTTATATCTCTTTTATAGTGTTTTTACTCTATGCCTCCTCCTAATTGTGCTTTTACTCTATACCTCCTCCTAATCTGTTTTACTCTATACCACCTCCCAATGTGTTTTTGTTCTATACCTCCTCCTAATGTGTTTTTACTCTATACCTCCTCTTAATGTGTTTTTACCCTATACCTCCTCCTAATGTGATTTTACTCTATACGTCCTCCTAATCTGTTTTTACTCTGTACCTTCTCCCAATGTGTTTTTACTCTTTACCTCAATCTAAAGTATTTTTCTCTTCCTAATGTTTTTGCTCTACACCTCTTTTTATAGTGGTTTTTGCTCTATGCCGCCTCCTTATGTGTTTTTACCCTAAACCTCCTCCTGATGTGTTTTTGCTCTATACCTCCTCCTAATGTGTTTTTACCCTAAACCTCCTCCCAATCTGTTTTTGCTCTATACCTCCTCCCAGTGTGTTTTTACTCTATACCTCCTCCTAATGTGTTTTACTCTATACCTCCTCCTTATTGTGTTTTACTCTACATCTCCTCCTAATGTGTTTTTTTACTCTGTACCTCCTCCCAGTGTGTTTTTGCTCTATGCCTCCTCCTAATGTGTTTTTACTCTATACCTCCTCCTAATGTGTTTTTACTCTGTACCTCCTCCTAATGTGTTTTACTGTACACCTCCTCCTAATGTGTTTTTACTCTATATCTCCTCCTAATGTGTTTTACTGTACACCTCCTCCTAATGTGTTTTTACTCTATACCTCCTCCTTATTGTGTTTTACTCTACATCTCCTCCTAATATGTTTTTTTTACTCTATACCTCCTCCTAATCTGTTTTTGCTCTATGCCTCCTTCTAATTTGTTTTTACTCTATACCTCCTCCTAATGTGTTTTTACTCTGTACCTCCTCCTAATGTGTTTTACTGTACACCTCCTCCTAATGTGTTTTTACTCTATACCTCCTCCTAATGTGTTTTACTGTACACCTCCTCCTAATGTGTTTTTACTCTATACCTCCTCCTAATGTGTTTTACTGTACACCTCCTCCTAATGTGTTTTTACTCTATACCTCCTCCTTATTGTGTTTTACTCTACATCTCCTCCTAATATGTTTTTTTTACTCTATACCTCCTCCTAATCTGTTTTTGCTCTATGCCTCCTTCTAATTTGTTTTTACTCTATACCTCCTCCTAATGTGTTTTTACTCTGTACCTCCTCCTA